GTCCGACAAAGCGAACGTGTCATGGGTCCTTCATTTTTCCAGCTCATTCTGTATTCCCAATGTACAGTGGCCTATGCAGCTTTTAGTGGCCCTGTGCACGGAGACTTCAATTCGTGGCTGATATAAACAAGCACACTCTAAGCGAAACACTCAAGTCAAAGTAGCAACATATAAAGGCTGTGTCTAGGGCACTGCCACAACATTCCAAGTTCCTTTATATTACCCTTTCCAGATAATTTACCCGGTCTAGGTGTTCTCCAGTCAATCAATCCTTCACGCGATTGTTATCATCGGTCGTAATTTACCGTAATACCAATGCTCGAAGGGAATGTAAATTGCGCGTCTAAATAAGCCAGGACATAACAGCTCAGCAACTTACACTCGGATTATGAGATATTCAGCCATGCTGGCGTGGTTTTGAATTCTTCGTCGCCTCTTAATATTGGTATTGTGCCCCTTCTACCTATTAGATTCCCTTACTGCTTCCTTCGTACGGAATATATCGGTGCGCTCCCTTGCGCATGCTGTACACGCTTACCATTCCCTTGCTCGGCTGTCTTCTATAAAGCTCCCACTTACCTCTATTACCCCTTGCTTTTACCTTCTGTGCACTACAATACCGACTGCTTCCAGTATGAAAACTCAGTTCAGCTGGACCTCACTAGTAAATGAGTCAGCCAGACCTTCCCTCCCCTGGTAGTTCAACAGGCTGATCACACTCCGAAAGTTTTACATGATTCCCAATACTCTAGACTTCTATTACACCAACAAGCCTATTTAAAGAAGCCATATTTCATACATATATATATCAATCTAGGGCGTGTTAGGTTGAGAGCAATCGAGCAGGTGGTCTATTCAGCCTTTGAGTAATACTGTACCCTTCACCGCTTGTCTACAAAATCTAGGCTTAGAAAGCCCCATTATGACAAACCACCAACCAGAATTCCGCCTCACCGGCGAGGTGCCTGCATAGCTAGACGTTCAGTAGTTAGCCTCGAACAGGTCAATAGAATTTTCATTGATTGATTAATATGACAAACCACCACTGCACCACTGCAAATTTCGCTAGTTACAATGCTAATTCAATTAACTGGAAAACTAAAATAAGTCCAGTGTAAGTTAGGTAAAATCTTAGGCTGCTAGCGCGACTTCTGTTTTTTTTTTTTTTTTTTTTTTTTCCCTCTTGTTGGTGCCAGCAAAGACAAAGACTTGCTGCAATCTAGCTACCTACGTTCATAACATGGATCCTATCAGGAGACGCAAATACCCTCTATACCAGGGCGAATATAGTTATGTATATGGAGCAATAAGGTTGATCCACTCTTCCTTTCCCTACTTGTCCTCTGTCGAATAGATGCTGCGCGCTCTAAACCACTTCTCCAGTAGCGGTGCATTTCTGAGACCGAAAACCGAACTCTGCTTACAGGGTCGAGCCGATACGGTAGAAGGCTTTGGTTTGAATCCATGGTTAGCCAGGCAAAGACTGCATCAACAGTAGGGTGTTCATACAATAGAACTGGTCGCTGTCCCTCCACACGTCAAGCACCTGCATACCAATTCCTTCCACCATGGACCGGAAGTATGGCTCTGGCCATTTTCCGCTACTTATAACTGCAACTTTCTCCCCTTTGGTGATTTTGCACGGTTGTGAATTGATGTGGATGCTAACATCACGAGTGGGAGTGTAAAACACCTGGACCTGGTTTCGCACACGGTCCAGAACTGTGTCAAATGTCCAATCAGAAGCGCAAAAGGCATCGTGCCCTAGAATGCGGTTCGCGGATTGCAGCCCATTCATTATAAAATCCTTAAGCGGTGGAGACTCCCTGTTATAAGCACCCATCACAATGTCCTCGCCCGAGCAGCTATCGACAGATACCAGAAGCTGGCATTGGATCCCCGAGCCAATACAGGTATCAGCCATGCGTGACAGAAGTGACTGCGTTTGGGCGAGATGCATGTTGGTCATGCTGTTTCCCATCCAGAGGAAGGTGATGCTCTTGTGGGCGGTCAAAGGATGTTGATCTGCAAGCCACGCTATGCCGTCTTCGTATGTGCCCCAAAGCCCTCGCAGCTCGACATAATCAAGATCCCCAAGGCCCTTATGCAGCTGAGCCAGGCCATTCTGCAGAGACTCCTGGGACACATCCAGGGCGTAGTATGTTACTGCCTTGTGGGCTTTTTCCAAGGCGGACAATATAATTCCGGACTTCCGCAAGCTCCTGAAAGTTTGGTGTTAGCAAAGTATGAAATGGTAAAGGTTTAACCTACCCACAACCGAGCTCAATGAGCGCACTTCCCTCAGCTATTGTTGCAGCCATATCAGATGAATTTTTCTGTAAGATTTCATTCTCCTTCCTTGTCAGGTAATAAGCTGAGGAATTGCACAACTCGTCGAATAGTGTCTGCCCAGCATCGTCCCATAACAAGTCCTGAGGCAGCTGAAGACTGTCAAATTGAAGACCTTGAATGATCTGCATTTCCAGATCCTCCGACCTCTTGTCTCTCATGATCTCGATAACTGGAATGGTAGTCGTTTGAGTAGGCTGCTTCCTGAACATATTGAACGTGCCACCATTGTTCTCTCTCATCGTTCAGATTTGAAATGATGAAGTCGATGGTCCTGCACCAGGACGAGGAATGGGGAGATCTGTGCTCCTTTTAGTAGCTACGGGGGTTTAAGGGCAGCTTACAGATGTATGTAAGTACCTCAGCAGTAAGGGATCTGCAAATCCGCCTCGAAGAACATATCTACAGTTATGTGGCATTTGTCTCTCAATCGGCAGCTATACTACTAATAATTAATGTATTTTACCTCATAATACACTTCTACATCATATATATGAAGCTTTAAATAGTGCTTAAAAGGCTTAATATCTTTCAGAAGACCAGTTTCATCATACGAACCTCCCTGATCTTGAGTCCCTATTGATAGATTTCGTTGATTCACCTGATGCTGACCAGCTTTCTGAACATACCATATATATAGCATAGAGCTTTGTGGAGACGTAATGGAAATACTGCCATTCAGGGCCTTTGTGAACTAGGATATCTAAAAGTTTTCGCGGTCAGAGATAATATACAGCCACATTCCAATCGCCAGTATAAATAAATCGCCACGAAGGAAATGTGAAACATTCCCCTTGACTAACCGACATTCAGGGCGCCCTTAAGATCACGAGCGGCATGGCGTCCCTTGCCTCGGATTCATTTCACAAGAACTAAATCGAACTTCTGTCTGTAGGAGGCACGGTTCTAAGAAAAAAAAAACCAAGTCTAAAATAGATGAGTTAAGCGGTGTGCCCAAAGCCGAGGCCCTGGCCGGTGTTCTCCTTGCCTCTCTGTCCTTTGATTCTCATCCCCACAATTTAGACAGAAATTCAGAAGGTACGAAATATACTCCGTCATAGTTCTGGCCATTGAATTTGAAGCCTAACCCCGGTGGGTAAAAGTGGCGGTCGATAAACTTGATTTCTAGTGTAGTCCATCATTCAATACCTGTAAATTTTGCTAAGTGCTCCTCCCATACTCCTTTACTGTATAGAGCATTAAAGTGAAACCAGACATATCCGATCACTTCGCCGGAATAGAAAAATTCTTGTAGAGGAGCAGCAGGTGATACAGCTTGATAAAGAAATAATGTGTTCATATAACAGTTTTAATGGATAGTAAATGGGCATGGCAATGGATGTAGATATAAAGATACATAGTCCACTTTAGATACCTGCGCTCTTCACATACATTTGAGTGTTAAAGTTCAAAAACATATTTGTCGCGGCCCATACAACTTCAGGCTGGCCATCTTCAACCTTTAGTCTCAAGTCATAGTTTCTTATGACCTTGGAAAATAGAGTTTGAGAGAGTCTGGTCGCTAATAGCCGTCCAGGGCAGACTGAAGTTCCTATACCAAAAATCAACCATTTTGCGGAGGGTGTTATTGTCCCGCGGATATCGCAAGCGCCCGATTGGGGGTCACAGAAACGGTACCCATCGAAAACATTTGGGTTAGGATAGTTGTCTGGGTCCAGGTGAGCTTGTTGGGCTGGGAGGGAAAATAGGGTTCCAGGAGGAAGAGTGTGGCCTGTTGAAGGGAGTCGAAGTGGTTTTTCTACCAACCCACCACTTGCAACTTCACAGATGAGTGTTATTAGAGTCCTTTCTTTGTGAAAGGGAGTTGATGGGAAATACTAACTTGCAGCCGGTGTAAACACACGGAGACACTCCTTAGTAAAGCTCTCAAGCTTAGGGGTATGTTTGAAGATGTCAAAGCTCCATGCATTATCGGTTTGCTTTAGAGCAGCCGTGAGCTCTTCTCTCAGAGGAACTAAATATTCAGGAGTCTTCATAATTTGATAGAGGAAATTAGCCGTTGCTGGTATGAGACCTCCTGCAACCTCAATGAAAAGCAATATTATCTGGGTGGCCATCATATCAAAATACCGCTCGTCTTCTTTCTCGGCATCATGACTCAAGAGTCCTTTCTTCAGTACTAACTCGATCATCACGTCTAGGAAGCAATTTTGGTTGCTTTTTATGGTGCCTCTTCGCCTTTGTTCAACTCGGCGTCGGATTTCGGGAACAATTGTTTTCTTCATTACCCCCATGCTAGATTGGGCTTGACGGGTCTTTGTTGAGAATTTTCGAACAAGGATCTTAAAAAAAAGGGGGTAAGGCTTCTCTGAGCACCTTCGATCTGCCAACTGCATACCAAATAACGAGAGCTGTTTAGCAAGAGCTGTGTTTTTGGAAAGCTCCGGGCCTAACACGACAAGGAGGGCTATATGACTATAGATATTGGATAAAGTATTAAACAGGTTACATAGATGCCATTCTGTATTCATTAGCTTTCGGCTGCTGGTATCTGTCCTCGCCTCATACATACCTTTGGACTCAGGCAAAGTTTCCATCAGCAAGCGATCAAGTTCACGGACGATTGAGCTCTCGACTCTCTCTGAAGCAAGCAATTAGCTCTCTAAAAATCTCATAAAGCCTTCAGATTCCATACTGATGAAATCGACCTGACTGCACTTCTGCACAGTTAGAGGAGCGATATGCCAACTAGCATCTATCCCAAGATCGTATAATGAAGCTTCCTAGATGGTCACTGTTATTTGACGTATTTTACCCCAATACCATGGGTGGCCGTGATAGTGCCACTATTATGGTATATCATTGTACTCACCTCATTTAACGCCTTTCCCCAGTTGACGTGGTCCCTGGGAACATTGTACCAATCTTGGTAGTGTTGCGGAGGAAGCAACACGACGTATCCCGTACCCGCACTGTCCGATATTGAGAAGGCTTTCCCATTCTTGCTGTACTACTAGGAGGGTTAGAGCCGCGAGTTTGACCACGAGATCATCACTCAAGTCGAGGAACTCGCCTTTCGATATGCATCGGCAAACTCCTCAAGGTAGTGGTCCATCGATTTGTTCGGACGGTATCGTTCACTCAGTAGCGACTTTCCTGGGATACAAGGAGCCCATCGTACGGCCCTTGTTTTGAACCCACAGTAGAGGACGTCCGACACAAAAATGATGAGAAATGAGGCTATTAGTGACAGAGCAGCCATTACGCCCACAGTGGGGACATACGAGACTGCTCTAAGAAGTGCTTCAGGAAATATCGTGTCCATTGTTGTCGAGAAAATGAGAATGGCGCGATATGGTCAAGGAAGAGCTGGGTCACAACGACCGACCACACAAACATAATTAGAAACTGATTACAAAAGCCGAATCCCGGTCTGTGTATAGAGAGTATGGAACAGCTCGGTTATCGACGCAAACTACGGTGCATAAGTAGCGACTACCCCTTACAGTTATTTTTTTTATACCGCATTCCACCCATCTCTAACTTACTCCCCTCTCCTTCCTCATTCGGATCTGCGGTCTTAGTCACATCATAGAGGCTGTAAGTAAGGGGGGGGGAGGGGTCTAGATCTTAGGAATCGTAAAGAGATTAGATTTCTTAACTAGAACTCTGGCTTGGGGTCTGACTCAACCTTGGAATTTTGGTTACGACAGGGACCCACCGACCTTTCCGTTGTGGGGCCGAGTCAAATCAATCACGTTTTCTGTTTTTCGCGGTGGCTTAAACGCTGCAAGGGGTCCAAGGGGATACCCATAATCTCAATGTCTCGATCGATGTAAATTACAAACCAGCCTTTGGAAGAGATATTTAACTATGACTACAGAAGATTATCTAATCTAGTCATTCGGATTCAAAGCTCATCAGTGTCATCACCGAGGATTAAGGTCTTTCCGGTTTCTTTGGTTTCTCTCAAATGCGTTGATATACCTTATGTCCACAACTGAAGCAAGTTCAAAGTATTCATAAAGGATATATATATATTCGATAGAAGTCCATTTGTGACTAAACCTATTTGGTTAGTCATAGCTAGTACCCCGATACAAAAATCAATAGACAATACGATCTATATATAGCGTGTACACGAATGAAGGCTCCCTTACTCTTCTCTGTGGGAGGCCGGTTCGTTATAAGATAGATATATATCGATTAATAAAACGACGTACTTTAACAAACTGACGGGGAAGTGGCAATCCACTCGTACACCATCCAATATCTAAAAAAGATATTTAAAATGAAAAGCAAAAACATACAACAGGAGGGATTCGCTGGTGGTCACCCACCCAACTACTAACCTCCCGGCGTGTGGCTTAAGTACGGCTGAGCGGACGGGAAGCCCTGTTTTCCACACCCTATGGTCGTATGTACCAGTTTACCCTAAATAGCAGACTACATGGCCATTGTTCTTCAATATTCTGATCAGTGCTACCGTGATAGTTGACCCGTTCACCAGCTCTCACAGTAAGGTCGGAGGTCGAATTCATGTGTGAAACTCGACCGGGGTTGAGTATGCAAGAACCAGTACGTCTCAGCGATCTAATCGCACAGTTAGTGTTGATTTTTCTCACCAAGAGAAATGGCGAAAGCAAGCCACTTACCCAGTCGGGATCGATCTTCGCATCCGGGACGTCCTTCTTATATTCCTTCGTCTTCTCCGTCGCAATGATCCCGTCGATGATGGCATGAGCAACATGGACGCCCATGGGACCAAATTCACGAGCTAGTGATTGGGAGAGTGCCCGGACAGCGAATTTACTCATGGCAAATGAACCCAGGCCGGGGCCCCCCTTCATGGCTGCCGTTGCACCTAGAACAGAGAATCAGCACGATGGCTTTTGAATGTGAACTGGACGTCAACCGGTCCGCCTTGCGATCTTCAGCATCCCGCACTGGTTCCGGCAACTGGTCAATCACGAACCGGTGAATATCATTGTCGGTGGATGACGCAGTTCTGCCTGCGACGTCGCGCGCAGCATCAAGGGCAACACCGCTTTGGAGAAATTTGAGGCCCCTCGCGCGGTGGCCTCCAAGCTATCCAGGAACTCTGCGCTGGAATCCAGGAAGGGCGCGCGCGTGAACTTGCTGGCCACATTGAAGATGGCCGCCGAAACGGTCAGATCGGATCCAAACTGCTGTTCAATTTGTTTCAGTGTAGAGTTTAGACTCCCTGCGTTCGTTACGTCGGCAGGGATGCCAATGGCGCATCCTCCATCCTGATTGATGCCCTGGACCAGAGGGTCGAGGCTTGATTGACTCCGGGCGAGGAGCACTACGGGATATGCCTTCGCAAACCGTCGGGCGATAGATGCCCCGGTCCCCGGCCCAGCTCCGGCGATGATCGCAATCGGCTTGGATAGCGTGGATGCCATTGCGGTATGCGGTGATGGGTTGTGCAATGGAAACTGTACAGCGTGAAAATAGTTTCGGGTGCGGGTCAATATATAGCAGATGCAGCAACCGGATACGTCATTAAACCCAAAAGCTTAAGTGTGGTTCTTGGTGCTGCTTACAGATCGGGCGCCGAGAGTCCGAGGAAGTCTCGGTTCTGATTTCCTAGCCATCCTCCTATACCCACCCCGGATTGCCGAAATATCCCTACGTTCCCAGCATTTGCGCAATCCTCACCATTCAAGAACCAGACAACATCGAAATGTACCAAAAATAATAGAAATCCTTTCTTAAATACCAAACTCAGTCTCATGATACATGGCTATATATTTTGTAGCGCTATTTCAAACCTATAAATGTGTTTGTTCGAGCGGAGAACGATCCAATACCAGATGAAGTTCAACGACTTTGCTTCTTTACTCTGCCTCATAATGAGGCTAAGAGTCTATAAACCGAGCTGGTGTCGGGACTTTCATTACGGCTCCTTCGAGGCTTCCAGTCTGGAGAAGGAAGAGTTGGCTAACATCCTGGCCCAATCATTCTGTCATAGCCAGGACGAGTACCTGGCCTCCGAGCTTCAGATATCCTGGTAGGCATGACCCCATTCGTTGTCATCTACCCCCTCCTAGCTGTGAACCTAACAATATTGCTGGCACCAGCCAAATCTAGAGCAATGGTTTCATCAACTGTGGGCAACACTGTTTCAACCTTGCAGGCCCACGGGGATCCCAAATTTAGAAACCGAATCATCACCAGACACCACTATGGACAGGATTCTTCGTGCAGTATCATTATTTATTCCTCCGTTCCAGGCTCATAAAAGATCAGAATTGGCACGGAAAGTCAAGTTAATTACATTTCAAAAATGCTATGACTCGATATCATCCCAAAGCTTAACAGACAGCCTTGATTTAGGCCAAATACTCCAGCGAACCTTCCACAATGATCCGAACCGTCGGTCGCACCTTGTTCTTTTCCTAGGACATCAAGCTCAGAACTCGAAAAAGGTAGTTGTGGGTGCATACTTCCCTAGCTGTACGCAGACCCCAGCTTCAGAGGTGGAAAAGAAGCCGGAAAAGATAGACAAATCGAGAATCACTCCTCCATTACTTCTATTCCAGCTTCAGCCAAGCTTCAGCTTGTTTCGATGGAACGGAGAGGGCAGCATGTCTTCGTCTCAAGCAAACGACAGTGCCACAGGGTATACCGACCACCCTAACTACATAGGGGGTCCCACTCAATCGAAGGTGGGAGTGGAAGTTGACTCCGTCACAGGACAGGCTACATTTCTGCGAAGCACAGCTACCACCGCCAATGGGATGTCAGGCGTGTATGAAGAGGTTACTACCAGTAGGAAGCATGACGGGGCAGAGACCATTAATGAAGATCAGCAAGAGCGAAGAACAACCTTTACAGTCACCCACATTGCCATATTTAACGTGGAAGGTGGGCCACATTACGATTATACTCGGTGAATCCGGCACGGCCATATAATGATAAAAGTTCATATTCAGGGGATGACATCAACGTGTATATAAGAGCAAATAGCACTAATTATATGCCCCTCAGTCCCTATGGTAAGATTACGACTACTACTGCTGCCTGTAGTAACTACTGTACCACCCAGTGGGATCCTACTCCTTAGTGAGGCCCGATTTGCTGTGGCTTTATCAGATATTTAGAAGAGTAGATTTATAATCAGATCTGAAGAATGAATATGAGTCGTGAACATCGTATTATAAGTAGAGCTGATATCGGGCCGAGTTGGCCAAAAACCAATAGTTTACCCCGTGGGTTCCTAATGCAATGTCTGACGGGCATTGCCTTCTCATCCCCTTGAGATGCTGTTATCCTTGGAAGCCCGGCTCTGTCTAGTTTGAGAATCGTGTCTCTTCCGGACATTGAGATGCTCAGTGAATGACTTTCCTTGCCTTTGAGATTTGGAGATACTTTGGTTGTACCTGGGGACTTCTCGGAGTACCACTGCGCTTGATCCGCTGAACATGGCGCGTTCACCGTCTAGCCGCTTGCTTGGGTCTTGCTTTGTAGACTCGCTATCTCCCCACATCATGGTTCCCACGTGAAGCGGTGATGGCTCCTCAGGCGTGATAAAATGAGGAAACAAGACCAAAACTGGGTACTCAGGAAGGTCTGTATCCTTCCCTTTCTTAGACCTCCAAACTTCAGCAGATTGGGGTACATGAGAAACTGTTGTCACCCATTTAGAGCTCCGTTGCACTTTGCCCCACAAATCGGCGGCATCTTGGAGAAATCGACGAAATTCTTCCTTGAACTCAATGCAATTGGTCTCTAGTAAAGGCTCAACTAGATCGACGACCTCGGAGATAACATTTTCAATGTTTTCCTCTACCTGCCTCTGTTCATCTGAACTGAACGCCTTTACCAGAAGTGCCCGCAGTAATGCTTTCTCCTGAGATGTAATCTGATCGCACTGGTCAAGGGCATAACTCTTTGGCATTCGGCTAGCCGATGTTTCAACACACATTGACCGGAATATATTGCGGGAGAGGTGGCTGGAAATTATGCATTGCACGCAGGAAGCACGGAGCGTTTTCGACTGAATCATAGCTGGCGTGGGAAACATTGGGAAAGGATTTGAAGTTGTACATTCTTTCCACTGGAGGTGCTGAATGATACTGATTACTTTGATCTTTGGATTTTTGTTAGAGATCTGTATCAAAGTACAAGATGGGTTTGACAGAGAATATACCTCGCAGGCATCGGGCGGAAAAGTCTTGTGAAAATATCTCTGAATGATATCGCGCAAAGCCGCCTCGAGGTCTTTGATGTTCTGAATCCTAGCCTACATGAGCCTAGAAATACCTTCGGCGGAATATATGAAGTTGGCACATACAGATCAGGTCCAAAATCCTCCAGTTGAGTCGCCCGTTTCAATTCTTCAACTTCTTCTTGACTCTGTTCGAGGCGCCCCTGTAAACCAGTGATTGTCGTATCTCGCTCACCCAGTTGGGTACGGAGCCGGCGAAGCTGCTCGGTTTGACCGTGGACTTTTGTTGATAGGTCTTGCAACTTGGCGTTGAGACTTGTTTCTGCATCCTCCCTTGTTTTTTCTATCTGAGTCCTTGCTGTTTGAAGCTGGGCCTGAAGATCCTTCTCTTTCTCGGCCCAGCCCCTAACACGCTCCTCCACATAGTCACCAAGACTTGCTTTTTCATGCAATAATGATTGCTGCTTCTGATGCTCTTCCTCCAATTGCCGTTTGTGATCCTCTATCTTCGAATATGCTGCCTTGAGTTCGTTCTCAAGCTCTGTATTTCTCTGTTGTAATTCTTCATGGCTTTTAATAGATTTGGAATGATTGATGGTGTCTTCCGCTGCTGCCTGCAGAGCCTTGATAGAGGACCACAAGGTTTTGTCCTTTGACTTATCTTTTGGCGCCATTCCGAACATATATTTATGACTATTAGGTGTCCCGTTTCCCTTCAGATAACGAACCTGAGGGAATGTACCCTTTTTAAGTCATGACCTACTATTATGAGAGTATGCAAATCATATCTCTAGGGAAAATTGCTTTCTTTCTTTTTTTCTTTTTTTTTTCTTTTTCTTTTCATTTTCTTTTTTTTTTTTGGCACGTGTTTCAAAAATCATTGGATGTGAGGTAAAGGTTCGCATTAAAAGTTCTCCAAAATCGCATGACGCCCCAAATGCGAAGGCATTGGCGGTGAAAGACTTTCTATTTATCCCCTTGCGTTGCGAACATAACATGGAGTAGTAGCCTTGCGATCACTGTAGCATATATGAGTATAGGCGGGGAGAGAGAGACTGGCCATTGTCTATGCAGCTATAGATGGGCACATCCTTTGACAACTACGATGTTCTTGGATAATATCCATGTAATTAATTAATTACCCTAAGCTCTAAGGAACCTGAAGAACAGTTTGAGTCTACACTATATCCAAGTACTATAGGGGCGCATTCCTTTTGTATTATATCCTCACCTGGTTTTTGACTCCATTGGCCTCATTTTCTTTTCCTATAGCATCATCATCACCCTGTTGTTATCAATCAAGCAAGCAAACAAGATTCTATTAACCAGTTCGAGCCTAACTACTGAACGTCTAGCTATGCAGGTAAAAGAGAACTCCCCTGTTCTTATCCTGATCCTTTCTCCCTTGGCTTGAGGCCTGCCAATTGTAGTGGGCTTAACACTGATTTTGCAGCAAAGCTTTACCCTGCCTTAACCTCACTACCCCAAATTTCTTGCATATTTGTTCTTGGGTGGATTGAAGGTTTATGCCACGCGTCGTGTACTTTGTGCCGATGCAAGGGACAAGAAGGACTCCCTTCCTCGGGGGTAGTGTTGGAGTGCAATCCAACGATTTTTATTCTCTGCCATAAATAAATGTCTTGGCTTGCTGCAACTCTTCCTGTGCCACTCTTCCCTAAAGAGAAGTTCCCGTCTGGTGAGTATCTTTAGTACCAAAACAAGTATAGAGTTGCCAAGTAAGGTCGGTCTCTGAAAGATATCGGTATGCTAACGCATACTGCACAGCAAACGAGACCGGGGAATAATCCCGGGGGAAGCAAAGGATATTATGCGAGTTGGTCTGTGATAATTCGCCTGGAAGATTGGCCATCTCAAAGAGTATGTACAACAATAGATATTTATGTTGCTATTTTTCAGAATTCTACGGTTGGTTACAAACACCCTGTTTTAGTCGAGATAGCCAAAAGACAATATATCATGGGGATCTGGATGTATGGTTTCAAATCAACGTTGAATCTAGGAATGAAGACTTCGTAGAATCATATGCCAGAGTATTAGTTGTTGGAGGACCAGGGTTCACCACTCGGCTGGATACAAGCCAACAGCCCCGGAGAGCCTTTGGGATGCCTTGAAATCTCTTCTGGGCTCAGTTGCTCGATGGGAAATATTCCCATTTTTGGCAACCTGCAGCAGAGAAGAGGCTCTAGAATAGTCCAAGCAGCATTGCTGAATCTACGGAGCAGCTCGCCCTGCGACTTGTTGAGAAGACCAATAAAGAGATGAAACTCTTCCTCCGTGGGCTTCCAAAACCTGTAGTTCGTCAGCTCCGTAAACCCTGTGGTAAATTCGACCTACATTATATCTGAAACGTTAGTGCCAGGCCGACCACCAAGTTCATTGTCTAAAATCAGTCCGAGAATTCCCTGGCCGAAGGCCTTCGTTAACATATGAAGACGCTTGCCGACTTTGCGGAGCCGGCTGAATTTTTTTAGTTGAATTTGATAGATCTCTGTACCCGGTTTCATATCTGGAAAGATCTCCGCCAGCATGGTTTGGGTAACTTTATACTCGTCTCTGTTTCTCGGGTTTCCCAGAGTCCTCTGAGATTTCTTGAACGTATCGGATGTGCAATGAACATAGCCAGTGCTAGAAGAGGTATTATGACCGCCACAATCTCGGAACATTTCAAGAATATGGTACCAACTCATAATCTGAATGATGCCAGCCTCTTGTTCCAAGTGCTCAATTAAAGCAAGTCTGTGTTGCGGAAGGGTGTCTCGTAGACGACACGATTGAAGACTGCCATGGTGTCTTGCTTGTTGTACCATCCGACCAAGCGCAATTATTGTATGGGGACTTGCGATAGTAATCAACAGACCTACAAAGGCCTCACCCAATCCTTTCTCTGGTTTCATCAACTGTTTGTGAATTTCCGGCCTAAAGTATGTGGCCTCTGGAGGCGGCAAGCGTTGCGATTCACATTTTGTTTTCTCGTTGGTTAGGAATTCTTGGAGTTCATGATTAATGCGGAAGGATATTGTACGTTTGACCCGCTTTCTCCCCTTCTGGTCGTTTCTCCCGGTATCACCAGGTCTCTTGGACTCAGTGGTACGTGAGCTCGGCGCTTCATATGAGATGGCAGAAGGCATTGGAAATGTCGCGTACTGAAGGTCACTCGGGGGGTCGATGCTAAGACTTGGCAACTCTGCAACAATGTTACCACCAAGGGTAGGGTTTATCTGGAAGACGTCAAAAGTAGTTAACATATTTGGGTCATTTGTGACACCCAGAGTAGAGATGTTCATCGATATCCCTGGGTCGTATATGGGGGGTATGTTCCCAGCGCTATCCCCACTGTTTTGAATCGTCGCCAAAAGATCATCGCAGCCAAATATTGGAAGCGCCGGGGCATACAAGCTGCCATGAACAGGGGGCGTAAGCATTTGAGGCTGTTCTAACCCGACCATGACCTGTGATGACTGATCAATCGGTAATGATTCGACCCCTATGTTTGCAGTTAGGGCAGCGTCCGCGACAGCAGATACAGCTTCAACAGTTGTCTCTGAGTAAGCCTCGAGCAACTGCCGATCAGGCCTCTTGAAGATGCTTTTGGTGAAATGTATGAGTAAGGTAAATCTCTCTGAACGCTCCATAATGTTCTTACCGGGACAGAACAAACAGCGTCGCTGAAATACAAGCATTAGTATCTGTATCTAGGAGGACAGCTGCAACAATTGCATTCATTGTATTGCGAAGCACCGTCGCCGATTCGAACCCCGATCGACAAGAGTACTGGATGTATTTGCTGATGCCGCTCCGTTTAGCGGCAAGAACAAAGTGGTCCTTCTTGGTGAACTCCAGTCTCAACTTTGCCTTATGCTCTGAGGATATTCGTAATTAAGCTGTGTATTTATTTGTAGCGATGGATGTATATCATTATACTCACCTTTGCTTGTACCCATGCGCATGAAAACTATGTTGAGCACCGTGTCCACCCAGGAGGCGCCAACTTGCGCTAGCTGTCTATTCCCCTCGTGGTTTTCATTTTCCACCCCCGCAGCAGTGAGGGCTTGACGTAGGTAGTTTTTGTTGGTGAAGTTACGTTGAATGATGTACTCCACGGCTTGAACCTGATCGAGTGAAGCCATTGGTATCTGTGAATCACAAAGGGCCAGTGGACGTGCGGCAATCATTCAACTGGATTGAATATGAAAAGTATGTTCGTAAATATAAGGGGATTTAAAGCAATTTTAGACTCCATAGCCCTGCAGGAAAGCTGATAAGGAGCTCTTTTATGGACAGGCGCTGTGAATAGAACAAAATAGTTCACCGATAACAGACACTCAAGGCCTATCTGTTTACTGATAGCAACTATTCGACTTGAAGGCATCAGTAGAGCAAGGGGTCTAAAATCAACAACATGGTCGAGAACTATCCACCTTGAACCCCTGGCTTCTGGCATATAACTTACATAGAGAAATAGGGACATAGACCAACTTTTCAACAAGCCCTGTGTTGTTCGGTGCCTCTCATTACCGAAGGCAGTGGGCGGTGGTTTGCTAGGAAATAACCTCGTCCTAATGCTTTAAATCATATTCAAGTAGATCTTTCCCGCAAGTCAATTAAGCGATCCTTAAGGTCTAGTATGATTGCCTCTTATGATTCGCGAAAGCAAAGGCACTGCAGTGCTGAGCCTGCGCATATGTAAGGAGCAATACAATCACCCAGAGGGCCAGGAGTGTTTCCGAACACGGCAATAGCCATGAAAGAAGCACGGTCATGGTTTAGTAGATACGAGGTATCATAATATTACTGGATAAATATGGCTAGTTTATGATGGCTTGCTGCCGTTTGTAATAATATGAAGGAAGCCTGGCTTCTAAAATACTGATGAACCCCAAATCTGTTATATTATAAGACCGAACCTATTATAGGCTTTAAAGCCTACACCTCTCTATAGCATAGACTAAGGATACCCTATATTGGATCTCTAAGTAATCTAGTAAATATAGCCTGGTTGTTAGCTATATACAGTTCTTTTTTCTATATTTAAACTATTCGGGATGTTCTCTGAAATAATATATAAATATAGAAAGGATTATTTATCTAATTGTCCTGCACTGAGTTGGCTATATTGGCTAGAGCTTTGCAAGATTGTGATAAGGACTTCTTGTTTGTGGTTAGATATTAAGAGCAAACTAATTATTAATTCCCACCTTGCCCCAACAAGCTCAATTGAAATCACTGTAAATATAACAAGGTTGAAGCATGAGGCATTTGGTTTTTGAAGAATTCCGTTAAAGCGGTGCGTATTTCCTTTCTTCGCCTACAGAAATGGGGGACTAGTAAGACCTGTTCCGTCACCCAAGAACTATATTAAGCTTCAAATCTTTGCTCTCATGGCAGCTGGTTGTTTGCAATATGACCGTTTTCTACCATATGTACCAGATACAGGAAGCATCCTCTCATGGAAACCCTATCCACGTAGTTTCCATCGTCCATCTCTTTCGATTCCGTGTAGTTCATTATAGGCCCTCTGGAGGCTATTGTCTACACTTCCCTATCGTCTCGTGTTTCGAGAAAATTGCCATATCATAGGTTGATATAACTCCGTACTTCAGCTTCACGGTAAACATGTATCCGACGGGTTGACCATGTTGCACAAGTTAGTGAGATTACTTACCATCTATGTCTTACTTGTGTTTGTGCGTACCAAAGAGCTATCGTGGGTAACGATCGTTTCCGTATACAGCACCTGAAGTGAAGTGAATCAGCTCTGATGAAAGCAGCATCTGCTGAACATGATGCGATAGTGCAGCTGTTTCTTGATCACGGTGCCCCTATCGACCGGCACAGGTCAGACGGGAAGAATCCCCTGGGCCTGGCAGCTGAGGCCGGGCGCCTCAGTACAGTCAAGTTGCTTATCACACGTGGAGCAAATCCCAAGCTCCCCAAGTCCGACCTAGGAAACACCCCACTTGCGATTGCCGTATCTCATGGGTATCCAGAGATTGTCGAGCTTCTTATCCAAAATGGTGCGATGGTCCGTCGCCAAAATGTAGAGGGAAACACACTGCTTTCTGATGCAGTGGAGAAACAACATTGGGAAACCGCTAAAGTTCTTCTTCAAAACGGCGCCAAGGTCGATAAGAGAAACTCACATGGCTTAACTGCGCTTGATAAAGCCGCGATGAGTAATAACATAGCAGGTGCTCGACTATTGATTGAACATGGAGCCCAAGTCAATTCCGATAGCTCGTTTGGAGGGGCGCCTCTCTTTGCTGCTGCAAGACGAGGCTATGAAGATATGGCCAGGCTGCTAATTAAGAATGGCGCCGACATCAACTCTCTGAGTGAGCTTGTACCACGGGCTTACAAGCAGCTTCCGGAATATGAGAAATTGAGGGATCTGTCACTGAGGAGGGGCGCCGACTCCGATTGCGCGCTGTCCTTTCCCGTGATACCGCTGTTGATGGCTGCAGCAAACGGTCATGAAGTAATGTGTCGGCTTCTAATATATAATGGTGCGGAGGTTAATTATGAGACCTTGATGGGGGTGACACCTGGATGTCTTGCAGAAGCCTACGGCTACCATGAGGTAAAGAGTCTTATTGAAAGAGTTAATTCTGGCCAGGAGTTTAAGTCTACCGTGTAAGATGTTGAGATATACATAGAATTAGATCCTATTGCATCGGTCTGGCGCGCCCTATGCATATCATACGGGTGTTCCGGGCATTTATCTAGGATTCTTGTTGGCTAGTAGTTGCGAGGTCGTGCTCGAAGATGCCTCAAAACAACACCTGTGCAACATCCAAACAAACGGCGCTTAATATGTCCTGCTCTAGACCTGTAGCTTTGCTTCTGGGCGTATTGTGAACACCTCGAGAGCTCGGGGAGTTGGCAACATTTATGACAGCATTTACTGGTGGATTCGCTCATACTAAAGGTCGGGTTATGGAAGAACAACCGCTTGAACACATTAAGAACATGCGGATACACTCTAACAAATAAACACATATAGCAGAGAAATACGAAGCAGAGATACATTGACCGCACTCTATTTACGAGCTTCAAGGTTGGCTTTGATAGCTAAGTTGCGTTAGAAATATCATTTCAGTGAGACCCGCGGTACTTACCGTCACATGAGCTCTTCGCATCTCCGAAAAGCATCCTTGTGCCAGGCATGTAGAACATCGGATTGGGCACATCGGCTGCAGGTGCCAATCAGTATAATAACATCACTGCACCACACGTATGTTGCACTCACCATATCCACTAGACATGCCTCTCTTCATTACGATCACTTCCTTGCTCTTCCACGCGTGCAAAACGGGCATACCCGAGATTGGGGAGTCGGGCTCCAATGCAATGGGATTGACTGTATCGTTTGCACCAATAACAAGAGTGACGTCCGTTTCGGAAAAGTCGTCATTGATTTCGTCCATTTCAAGTACAACTTCCCTGTTTCAGTCACGTGCACTACCCTGGGACAAGGGATACTTACTGTCGTAGGGTACCGAGGCCTCTGCGAGCAGTACATTACACTGTCCTGGCATTCGTCCGGCAACAGGGTGAATTGCAAAGCGGACATTGACCCCTTTGGCCCGTAACATACGTGTGATCTCGGAAATCGCGTACTGTGCCTTTGCCACCGCCATGCCATATCCAACGACCTACAGCCTGTCAGTTGCTATACGACAGCCAAGTACCAATATGCATACAATAATGACGTTCTCTGCGTTTGCAAGTGCGTCTACTGTGTCATCAATAGAGGTTTGTGTAACTTGACCCTCGATCTTCTTTGCTTGTTGGGGAGCTGCAATCCCACCGAAGAGGACATTGGTGAGAGACCGATTCATAGCGACGCACTATGGCAAGTTAAATCAGCTGTGAAAGATAGAATGTTCAAAATACCTACCATAATGTATGACAGAATAGAACCGCTTACGCCGATCAAAGACCCTATGCTCGTCAAGAGTGGATTGTTGAGCATAAAACCCTCCGCGACCAGGGCAAAGCCCGAGTACGCATTTAGGACGGTGATGACAACAGCTGCCAAAGGTTAGCAAGTTCTCATCGGGGGAATGAAAGGACATACGCATATCGGCCCCGCCAATGGCCGCGGTCGTGGTGTAGCCCTTCAGAAAGCTGAGTGCCGTGTTTGCACCAAGGCACGTAGCCGCAATAACAGGAGAGCCTGGAGCCATAGAAACGAATGCACCCATTGTGGCCAAATTAGTGCCTAGCAATGTCGAATTTATCACATGTCGCCCAGGAAGAATAGTAGGCCTTGATGATATGCGGCCTGCTAGCTTCAGGAACGCTACAATGGACCCGGTAAATGTGACGCCGCCTGCTATTGTCAGGATCCGGTAAGTCATTCATCATCCAAAGGACCTACCTATCAGAACGCCAAGGTATGCTGTGACCATGTGCAGCGTTGAAATGTCTGCAACATCTGTAATCACACTACCGATACTTGTGAGAACCGCTGCTAATCCAACCACGGAATGCAACGCAGCAACTGTTTGGGGAAGTCCAGTAGGTGTAATACGGCGACCGATTAATGCTCCTAGATAGATGTGAGAAAATTCCCAGTATGTTAACCAATCAAGATAACACCTACCGACTACAGATCCGACACCGGCGACAGCGCCGAATTGAGCTAACACTTCAGGTGAAAACCCTACAGCTGCGAGGGATGCGAGTATTCCAGACGCTACACCCAGAATTCCAAGTATATTGCCTCGTCTGGCAGTTTGCTGCGATGCCAGGCCAGAGATCGATCCTATGTTTTGTTCAGAAGTTGGAGGGTAAGGACGTTGCGTCATTGCACTCACCAATGCAGAGGACACTGCTAATCAGGTATCCGGCTTGTACCAACCCGGCCATGCCCGTACTAGCCGCAGCAACAAATCCTCCTCCAAATAGAAGAGCTGGTACTGCATACAACCATGGGTATTCTGGCGGATCAGTTGGACCTATAAATTATAAGCAGCTAGTAGTATTTTGCTGGAAGCAGAAGCACCAACGCTTAAACATGTCTAGCATGCGCTTTGTCACCACAAACCCTCCAGACACATTGACGAATGCTAGAAGCACCGAGATAGCTCCGAGGATCTCTGGGATTGTGCTTGGCAGATAACCTCCGCCCATGATGAAGAAGCCACCAATGCCAACCATACCTAGTGCCGGCTCATCAGTACCAGTACAAATGCCTATGGAGAAGCTCGACTCACCCGATATTGCGTTCGTAACACTCATGAGCGGAGAATGAAGGGCGGGGGCGACTCCCCACACGGCACGGTAGCCAACAAGGCCAGCAAGCCCGAAAGTCAGCATATTGCCCATAAAGATAGGGCCAGTTGCTTTTCCTAGTGCCAGAGTAGTTCCCATGCCAGCGGTGACAGCCGCCACATCTCGCGTTGCTTTTTGCCAGGGCGTTAGTGCCAGTTCCGTCTGTTCCTTTGCTGGAGGTGCGGCTTCTACTTTTGGCGCGGGCGGGGGAGCTGGTCGTGGTGCCGGAGGAAGTATTTCTCCATCGAGTGTGACGATTGAGCCGCGTACAACCTCGTCGGATAAATCAACACCGAACGACTTTTCCTGGGGTGCCATAGATAGAAGGTACTTCGTGATGTTGTTGGAATAGAGAGTAGATGACTGGGTAGGTAGTCGCGATGGCAGATCAGTGTATCCTAGGCAAGTTAGCATCAGATATGAAATAATACTTCTCGAAGTCCGAACAAACCAATAACAGTGACGTCGTGGTACTTGGTCAATTGCCCGGGGACAGTTGCTTCACAATTGCCACCAGCCTCTGCCGCAAGGTCGACAATGACAGAACCGGGTTTCATAGCAGCGACCATCTTGATCGACGTGAGTACATATTCCTTCGGCCATGAGTAATGCCGAAACACGTACCTCTTTGGTAATGAGCTTCGGTGCGGGCTTTCCGGGAATCAAAGCAGTGGTCACGATGATGTCTACCTCACGACATTGTTCCATGAAAAGCTTCATCTCGGCTTCGATAAACTCCTTGGACATTTCTTTGGCATATCCGCCTTGGCCAGCGCCATCTTCTTGTATGTCCACTTCAATGAATTCCGCACCTAAGGATTGGACTTGTTCACGGACGGCTGGGCGCGTATCAAATCCACGAACAATGGCGCCTAGACGACGAGCCTAGAGTTGCAATGTTGGCACAGGCAGTCTCAAGAATAACGATGAACTTACAGATGCAATGGCACTCAAACCAGCCACGCCAGCTCCAATAACTAGGACCTTACTAGGGGGTATCTGGTTTTATTTCCCGTCAGTACTATAACTACGGATTGGACAAGTAGAATAACCTTTCTGCATAGTATTACCGTTAGCGAGTCTGCCCCAACAGGACCAGGAGGATACCTACCCAGCAGCAGTGACCTGGCCCGTCAAGAAACGGCCGAACTGATTGGACGCCTCGAGAATAGCTTTGTACCCAGCAATGTTGGCCATGGAACTATGAGTTACCCCTCACGGTCAGCGAGTAGTCATTATCGAAACCTCTTACGCTACGCACCTAAGGGCATCGAAAGTCTGAGCACGGGAAATCCTAGGAACCATGTCCATCGCAAAGGCGGTCACGCGGCGGGATGCAAGTTGGTCCACCAGCGGTTTATTCTGGGCGGGATATAGAAACGAGATGATCGTGCTGCCTTGCTGAAGAGCTTCAACTTCATTGCCAGGTTGAGGACCGCGAACTTTCAAGATGATATTACTTTGTGACCATACTGTCGCTCGGTCGACCATAGTAGCTCCGGCTTGTTCGTAGGCTTGATCCAGGAGCTCAGCTGCCTCTCCAGCGCCGCGTTCAATCAACACACGCGAGAAGCCCTTCTTAAGTAACAAGGCAACATTCTGAGGGGTAATGGCGACGCGACGTTCATTTGGATATGTTTCCCGGGGTACACCGACCGTTAGGGAGGAGTATGGAACGACCGGAACTGGGGACGGAGAGGAAGAGGTGCTCGCACTTCTCTTGGCAACCTGCGGCCATGGCGGAACGAAGGGTCCTTCGTAGGCGTTACGCTGGTATGGCACATAAGGGGTCCGAATTTGTATAACTATCAAACAGAGGGGTGCATTAGCGATTACTGCTACGGGACATTGCTGCGCAAAATTGTTCACTCACCCGAGTGTTGAAAGGCGAGAAGTGATTTTCCTGGGCGGGCGATGGAAGCCGCTCGACACGGTCCCAAGGCCGACCTCAGGGTCAAGGAAACACTCATGCTTGGTAACGGCGAGACAGAGTGTATAGCTGGTTATGGGAGCGAATGCGGAAAGGCCTCATTCCAGTCGAGGCCAGCTTCGTACCACCCCAGGGTCGGCAGCTAATCTTGGGTAGAGCATCAGACCCTTGATATGAAGGGAAATGAGATAAAGCAAGTCGGAAAAGGAGGAAGACAAAGGAAGCGCATACACCCCCTCCCATCTATAAGAGGGGCCGGGTAAAGTGAGTACCTGATGAATGAAAGGATTAATTACTATTAGTCGTTCGGCAAGGCATCGACCGAGTTGTCCATGAACGAACGCGCTTTCCCCCCTTTCAGCAGACGGGCCGGTGATCACGTTTTCCAGCATTCCTCCGAATCGCCGTGTGCATTGGCATGCTTCTCTATAGGTTCGATAGAAGGAAACGGTGGTATTGGCTCATGCAACTAAAATAGATTGGGTGGACATTGAGGGGAACCCAACGCGGGGAAAGCAAGTCGATCCGCGCGCCGTAACGTGGAGAAAGATGTTGTTCTTGGCAGCGTTCAATATTTTCTCCACCAGGGAGATCAATTACTAGTCACCTGTCATGCTATCCTTCTGCCCGGTTGGTCACGGACAAGTCTCGTGATACTTTCCTTGTTTTCTCTCGCAGGACTTGAACTAATACGGCATATCTTCTTGCATTAAAATAACATAAAACAAACCAAAACTTGAACTGGCACTGTGAAACCTGCGGGTTTACATTTTGATTTTGATCTTACAAGTTACAACCCACCTCAACTAGATTAACCTCATTGTTTTAGTGGATATCTTCATCTTTTCTGACTGTCCCGATGAGTTCTACTTTATCTAAATTTATTCGATCTCAAAATTTTATTTTATTTTATTTTTTATTTTTTTTTTTTTAGAGTTCTCTGCTACCCGAGACATGACAATATCCATCGTATAGTAGTTGGACACATAGATGTGTATTTAAATTCAAAGCCCCTGTCATAAATATCTTTAAATTTCTATATAGTTAACACAAGTGAAGCTTTGCAATATCCCATGGCGATATTGATGTGGTATCCCGGGCGGTTTCAAGGGTTATACGGCGCCTCCCGCATAGAGTTCTGCATTATAAATATATAATCCCCAAATCCACTACAACGGTCAGTCCATTTGACCATCGACCAGGGTTCTTGTCCTCCTTGAATCAAATTTGACAATTACTTAACCCCACCAGTCTCACCACCCGGTAGATGTTGTGATAGATTTATACAAAACTATTACTGAAAGGTTCTCCTTGATAGGGGTCTAGCTTTTGAGACATGGGAGTGGTTTACAATAGGAACCAATAGTGTATGGTTCATTTACCATGAGACAAGAGAGAGGTTTAACTCAGCACCAATCCAACAATCATTTCACGATCGCGTTTAGTGAATATAACTTCTCTCTCTCCGACAATGGTTGGAGACTACTACAAGCTACTCTGCTGATGAGAGTCACGTGAGACAATGTGACCCTGGTTGGCTAAGACTGCACATGATCTCGATACGTACCTGTACATGTTGTACTACCATACAAAAAACTGCTATCAGTTTCGTTTGTCACAACAAACAACCTCAAGAGCAACAGTGGCTGGACCACCGAAACGGCTCTTTGGCGGTATCGTACGGATTTCCTTACGACAGTGGCTCGACTCCACCAACGGTGGGGCAGAGATGATGCGATGACGGCCGACATCCGGTTTGACTGTCGCCTACACAATGATCAGACTACTCCGTACAATACATACATATATGCTGACATTTAAGGGTAGGACCTAGCTTGACAATTCTACCCTTTCAGACACCGGTGAAAGACGAATAACATCAGGCCATTAGCTTCGTATTAGAACCCTACATGAATGGGCCGGCCATGGCGCGGTAATCTCTCTTAAGGTTCTTTGAAGTAAGGTACAGTGCGAGACCCACTGGCCTCGAGTCCATCCGCACAGCTACTCTGATTGGCATTTTCATCCCTTGGCTTCCTGAGAGTGGAAAAGAAGGAAATTGAGCGCCAGCTTTTTTTTGACCCTCGGGCTTCCTAAATATCAACTCTTGCGGAGCAGTCATCTCCGATCGACCTCAAGAGAGCTCAATTTGCGCTTAAAGATCACCAAGCGCAGCTGGTACACTTGCAAGAATCCCTGTCAATTTAGAGGCACTTTGACCCAAGACAACCGGGAATTTTCGCTGTCTTTCTAGTTCGCCTTAGCGGTTTTTTTTTTTTTTTTTTTTTAAAAAAAAAAAAAAAAAAAAAAACCTTCTCGTGTCTTTTCCGCTCCCACGGTGGGGTCAACAGGTTCCTGACATTTTTATCTGTAAAACTCAATCGTTGGGAGGTCACAATAAACCTTGTGTGTTTTTTTCTTTCCTTTCTTTCTTTTTCTCTTCTTCTGCCCTCTCTTATTCATTCGAGTCGCGGATTTTGCGCGCTTCCTGAGATAAGATAATCGGCAGTTACTGGCCCTGCGATACTGCTGTCATGGCGCCCGCTCAGCAGCAAGCCGATCTCCTCGTTGACCAGGATGCGCATCCAATCGTCAACGAGGAAGTCCGAAGCCAAACAGAGTCGCAGGATGATGCAGCCCTTCTGGTGCGTGTTAAATATTTACTTTGATCTCCTATGTTTGCATTTCCCAATGCATAGAAGATTACTACCCTGATATCGCTATGGTAAGTACTAACTGTATCACCAGAAAACGATGGGCTACAAGCCAGTAAGTCTTTGCCCGATTTCCATATCAGCTGTAAGCATGACCTCATAATTTCAGGTCCTTCATAGAACATATACATTTTTTGAGAACTTTGCAACCACGTTCGGTAGGTCAAAGAAACCCTATACAAAATATCCAAATGGCTAACGAACTTATTAGCTGCTCTTTACTTCGTCGGTGGTGTGCGTGTTACTTTCAGTACCGGTATTGCGGCTGGTGGTAACTTGGCCTACTGGTAAGGCTTATGGTATCTTTTGTGGGGTACCAGTCACTCACCCATATCAGGACGAGTTATCTAGTTACCATGGTATTCACCTATATCACTGCTGCGGTCATTGCGGAGGTATGCTCTGCCTCCCCATCTGCAGGTTCGATTTATCTGTGGGCTGCTGAGGCCGGTGGTCCTCGATTTGGCCGACTCTTCGGCTTCATCGTCGCATGGTGGAGTACTACCGCATGGACGACCTTTTGCGCCAGCAACACCCAAGCGGCTGTGAACTACATGCTCTCGGTAAGTCTGATTCATTAGAACTCGCCTACTCCAGCTGAACCCCGAATGAGCGTACTAACCAGTCTCATAGGAGCTGACGGTCTTCAACGTCGACTTCCCCACGGACACATCGAGCGTCAAGTTCCGTGCGGTGCAATGGATCTGCACAGAGATCCTGCTGGCACTGGCTGCCATCTTGAACTTCATGCCACGTATGTTCAGACGCCTAATGCAGATGCATCTCTTAATATAAAAGCATACCACTCACACCCAACAGCCAAATACTTCCGCTATGTGTTCTGGTTCTCATCCCTGGTCGTGCTACTCGATTTCATCCTTAACATCATCTGGCTCCCCATTGGAGCACACAACACCTGGGGTTTCCGAACCGCCGAAGAAGCTTTCATGTCGACGTACAACGGCACCGGCGCCCCACCAGGCTGGAACTGGTGTCTGTCCTATCTCGCCACAGCAGGTATCCTGATCGGATTCGACGCATCTGGCCACGTCGCTGAGGAGACCAAAAACGCCTCCATAACCGCCGCGCGAGGGATCTTCTGGAGTACAGTAGTGAGTGGAATCGGAGGACTGGCCACCATCATCCTGTTCCTCTTCTGCGCGGTAAGTTCAGCGCACTCTGCGAAACTCATTGAACATCCACCCAACTAATACACCCCCCAGCCCGACCCAGACACGCTCTTCTCATTCGGCTCTCCGCAACCATTTGTCCCCCTCTACGCGGTCGTCCTTGGCGAAGGCGGCCACATCTTCATGAATATCATTTGCATCGTCGCCCTGTGGCTCGTAAGTCAAACCCCCTACCACTGTACCGCACTCATCACACCCCACCTAACCAAATGACAAAAACAAGAACACCGCAATCGCAATCGTAGCCGCCTCGCGTCTCGTCTTCGCCGTAGCTCGCGACGGCGTCCTCCCCTTCTCATCATGGGTCTCCAAAGTCCATAACGGCCAGCCCCGCAACGCCGTGATCGTCGTCTGGGCCGTAGGAGCCCTCATCACCTGCACTCTCCTCCCCTCCGACGTGGCATTCACCTCTCTTGTCTCCGCCGCCGGTGTCCCCAGCGCAGCCGCCTACGGGCTCATCTGTCTCGCTCGTCTCATCTGCACCCCGAAGCGCTTCCCAAAGCCTCAATGGAGTCTCGGAAAGTGGAGCAAGCCGTTCCAGTTCATCGGCGTGTTTTGGAATGGATGGGTTGTTGCCGTTCTCTTTTCGCCGTATGCGTTTCCCGTTACCGGGGCGAATCTGAATTGTATGTCCCTCTGGATTTTCTTTTCATTGTGGTTTTTTGATGTGTTGTTGGGGTTGTGGGGGTGGTTTGTGAACGGTTGACTAATTTTGTGTGCAGATGCTCCGATTATCATGGCTGGTGTTACTATCTTTGCGATTATTTCGTACTTTGTTATGCCTGAGGAGGCGTGGTTGCCTCGGAACCGGATCTCGCATTTCATTGATAGCAAAGGCGCCCAGGCGACTGTGGAAGAGGTGGAGCGGCCTTCGGGCGAAGATCAAGGGACCAGTAGTGCCCGGCTATGATGCGACGTATTTTGATCAAGGACAGGTGTGTCCGGTACTCGGTGGGTGGTGTTAATAAATTCAAAAAGGGGCCAGTGATAGACTCTGGTGGTTGATTAGAGTGTATATTATAGCGTTGAGGTATTTGTTATAGACCATGGCATTCCGCATAATCATGCTAGTATCGTAGTTTGCACATTGGTTCTTTTTTATTTTAATTGCGATATGCCAATAGTTGGTCGATCAATCACTGTGTCAACATCTATGTCTATTTTGAAGAAAACGCCCCAAGTCTATACACCGTTATGTTCCAGGTTTAATGTAATACCATGTTAGAGGCTCCTGCAGATGAGCAAGGCTAGATTATCCAGTAGCGAGTAGCCCCGCAGGATGATCCCAACATTATTAATATTTCCACGAATCAGAATCATAGGGTCCGGCCCTGTCTGATGGCTGTCCGTGCCCTAACGCCAGATTCATCCCTTAATCAGAACGCAGATTCCCGACCGTCGCTAATGAAAATCAAAGATTGCGAAGATAGTACCCTCAGCCAGGCGAGTGAGGTTGTATGGGTAGCAGACGATACCATCGTCTTCTGTAGCTGGTGCTTAGGCTGCACCAGATGGATCAAAGCATCGTTGGTCGTATCGAGTGCTTTTATGCGAGATTACGGAAGGAGAATCGAAGACCGAACGTCCTCCATCCTGTCTATCCACCCCTCCGGGAATGCGCGTTGCTTGAACCAGGCCTTCTCCAGTTCTTCAAGGCCCTTTTCAACGTTCTGTGAAGAAACAATTAGTATTCATATCACTTGGTGCTGGGGGATCGTTGCGTCGTACCTTGAATCCAAACCGTTGTAGATTGATCATGGTTTCCCGCACGAATTTCTGCTCACGCTCATTATGAGTCTCGCGTCCCGCGATGAACAAAGGCCACAGAACTGCCAGCTGGCCAACGTCTTTGGCAAGTTTTCCAATCAGATTTAAGATTCGCGACGCAAGCATGTCTAGAAGGGCTCTTTGGGGAACACGGTCGGGGCGGTCTGCTGCTGCGACCTTGTGCAAGTAGAGAACGGTCGCCTTTTCGTATGACTCGATACAGCCAGCATACTCCAAAACCTGTGGGTAGGGATATTGCTTCAGGCTCTCGTCATCGAGTTCACCAACTTCTTGGATGCACTTGGGTGCATTGAGCCGCCACTGGACTAGGCGTCCCATCAGATCCTGGTACAACAAGTCTTGCTGTTCAGGGGGCATCTGCCCGTCGCTTTTTGCCTTCCCGAAAGAACTAATAGCTGCTTGAATCTCCATCATCTGAGACCAACACTGGCGAAGTTCCACCAGAAGGGGATTCTCAGCGGATGCATCCGCCGACAAACTTGGGATACCCAGGTTATATTCCCAGCCGCCACCATGCGTTCTCCAGTAGCTGCCCTCAACTACAGTCCCTTCGCTAGTGGCACAAGCGCCTGCGACGTCAAGGTAAGAAAGGAGAGAAACGAGAAAATGTCGAAGGGGGTGGTTCATTTCGGCTTGGCGTTGCGCCTCTTTGGCCGGGTCACTATTGGGGAGGAAGAGTAGACGATATATCTCACGAGCACCTTTCAGATGAATGTTCCAGTTATGGTTTTGGGAGTCCATCATCTAGCCAAGTCAGCTTTGACTCAGAGCGCCATAGACATGTGCCCCTTGAAAGGATATTTTCAGATGCCGGGCCAATAGAAATTGGGAAGCGACTTACTTCGAAAAGAGAGAGTAATAAACAAGTGGCGAGGTCTGTTAATTGCAAGTTCTGGTCGGGCTGCGTATATCGAGTACGGAAAGACTTGACCACCTCTCCATATTTGCCCATGGCCCGTTGAAAGTGTAGATTCCGTTGTTGACCTCTAGAAGTGTTTGCGAGATGTAATGCTCCCAGTGCCTGCATAGCGTTGGCCATGGTTGGTGATGCCCGGGCCAGTTCGGGAAAATATCGTCTGTAAGGGTTGATGTTGATTGAGTTATCGTAAATCAGCAGCAAGGTTGCCACACTGTCGATAAAATGAGTATAATAGCGACCGTCCACGCAGTCTAACGAAGATGACATGAATACAGCTGGCGAAATGGGTTCCTGGAATCGATATTTCATCGGCTTCGATTCCGGGATAGTGGTTGGGGATACTACTAGCGCATCGTAGGATTCATCCTCTTCGCCGGGTTCAATTTTGATCAATTTATTGCCATCGGTGGGATCCAGGACATGCGAGATAGGCTTCTTTGTCTCTCGTTTCTTTGGCGGTGAGGACGAAGACTCCGGCGTCTGAGGTGGGCCATAGACCTTGAATGTCATCCGCCCTTGTGTGCCATCACATTCTAGACCCAAGCGAGTACAATTCTTGCACGACGGTGAAGCCTCGTCGCAGCGAACATGACGTCGACGGCATGTCGAACAGCCGGTAAACCCCCGGTGATGCCATCGGCGAACCCGCTTTCGTTTCTCAGGTGCGGGCGTGGATTGCGGGGTTGCTGAAGGAGGCTTTGCCTGTGCGCAGACGACCGTTTGGATCTCCATGAGGTGAGATGGGATTTGTATAGAACAAACCGTGAGGTTGAGACATAAAGGCGAACGAGAGAATTAGGTCTAGCCTGAGCGAGGGATAGCCAGACGATAAGGAATACGAATCAACACCTCATTGACGGGAAGGACATGGGAAGGGTGGGAGATGAGACGTAGATATGTCGGAGGAAGAATGGGACGAAACGAGAGTGAGTTGGAGGATATACTCAAGTGTGTGATGATAAGAATAGTAATAGTAGCAGGAGTAGTTGTTGTAATAGTCGAGGTCGTAGTTGAAGAGGCAAAATGAAAAGTTAACTTTCGTCAGAGACTCTTTTTCAAAATTACCTTTAAATTGCAATTTAATTAAATTGGGAACTCATTGGAACCTTCCAAAAACAGATGAAACTCAATCATTGGTTCCAGTGGAGTCTTTTGCAGCGTTTGATTGGTTTGACCCCGTTTGGATTTGCGGGCGACCGACAATCCTGGAGGTGAGAATTTAGCAAAAAAAAAAAAAGACACTTTTCTTTTCTCCTCAACGCTTCAAATTTCCCACTCTTGGACTCTCTTGAGACATGGGGTCCGAAATATGCAATCTATCCTAGTTCTCCGTTTCTCCCTTCAACTTCAACTTCAACTTCAACAACCCCTCTTGTCTCAATTTCTCACATGCAGATGGATCATCCACACCATTCGAATTCTAAAACCCACCCCCCACGACTCGAAAGCGGAGTAAGAAGAAATGCGACCAAAATGTCTGTGTGTCGGTGGTGTGGTCATATTGTGGTGTGTGGTGGATGCTGCCTCCGCCCAGAGTCTTTGGCCCAAAAATCTCCCACGACTGCTGATCGACCCTAGTGGTTGATCATATTGTTCCCTAGTACTGCTGCTTTACGGAGTACATGATTCCCAATCCCGCGATCACTGCAGTCGTTAGCTGCAGGCAACTGTCTCCAGTGTTAGTGGGAGAAATAACCTTTCATCTGCAGGTGAAAAAAAAATACCTCATCGTGTCTGCCCAATGGAACGGCCAGTTACTCTGGTTCTGTGACTTCATCCGGGACTGAATAGTCTGGGCCACTGTTTCTCGGGTCCCCACAGGATCCACTTGCCACGATTCCAACCGATAGTGCTGCTGGCCTATAATTTGGTGATCGTCCCAGAGCTAAGGATTTGGTTTCCCCTGGCCAGTAGCGATCATGGTCATGGGGAGAAGCCGAGGGTGTGGTCTCTCAAAGGATTCACGCCGAGAAGCGAACTAATGCTGGCTATCACTAGTGCCAAGTACTGGATTCATCCACTTTACTAAAACGAGTTGTCACCTCGTGCCATTTCATTCGAGAATTCCTAGACCCGCCTCCTGCGTGGCCTTGCCTTGATCGCTACGACTGAACAATGGCATTTATCCCTGTTAGTACATTTCGAAATGGGAAAAAGATAGCAATATCTCTTGCAGTCAAAACTCCGATCGACGCACACAATCTTGCTGTAATCTGTGACCGGGTCCCTGGCTGCAGTCGGAATCGCCCGCGCTAGTCCGCCGCTCTTAATAACAGACTATCTGGATGAATATTATCCGTGGCCGAAGGACTGCTATAGGCATCCATGCAATTTTGATGCTTGCAACACGATCGAGTCCAACCTGCCTAGCCTTTTGCTAGATAAAATCTAGCGGCATTCGAGAAACATCTTGCACACAAGCCGCGGTTACATTGGGCGGGTTCCGCGGTACCACACCTACGCGAGGGAGTTTTCCTCCGGTTGCCTCCTAGTGATTTAAACCTGGAATGCCAAGAGCGAGCTTTCAACTCTATCATGCAGTTAGACAGTCATCCGTCCTTGGTACCGTCGGGGGCTCCCACCGGCACCGGCTTTCGTTCAATGGCTCAAACTGAGGATCGACCAGATCCCGAACCCTTTGGGCATAGCACGGATTGTTTCACTTTTCATACAAATGAAGTGGGACGATAAAATGGATAAGATTTGGCTATGCCATACGTATGTCAGAGGCTTTGTAACTTTAATCATCCAGACGGTCCCTGAGAACGTGGGCGAGATTCGAACATTAACAATCAAGACCTTGTCACTTGCGACGGTACGGAGGACTGCTGATCCTGCGGCCCGTTGCTGACCATCAAGGCTTCGGTGAGCGTCGCTAACTTTGACCCAATCCGTGGAACTCCTGCTTGCGTTGGCCAATAGTAAAGGCATTTGGCAATCATTGCGTCAGGGTCGGTTCATTCCTATAATTCACTCTTATTATTTCCCACTATGCCACGATCGACGGTATTTGCATTTACTCGGCAGATGGCCACATCTGGGCCCATGCACACCCAACTTGCGGTATCGTGAACTCCGCCGTGCCGTAAAATCGCACGACCTTGATGGTCAGGATCATCACAATACAGACTCAGTTCTCCGCTCCAAGATCCCAGAAATATGGATCAACTAAGGTTAAAAATCCATCAGCCACCCTTGGCTGGGTTCATCATTCACGAACCAGGTCCCTTTCTCTGCCAGAGGCGTTGATCGCCTGTGCCATCCCGCGGGCGGTCATGCTTTCGGTTCCGGAAAACCTCCGCCGACACTTCAATATTAAGGTATACGTTGTAAAGAGTATAGGATGTTGTTTATAGCTCACATGCTCTGGGTTGCTTTCGCATATGATAGATTCCAATCTTCCAGAAATGGTTTTCCGCCGCGCGAATCATATACTAGTGGTTCACCCCCTTCACCTTTCGGAGACTGTCCGTACGAATATGCGAGATCATCGTGGGTCACAGCAAGAGCACTTAAATAGGCTTCCACGATTTGGGTCTGTGAAGACTGATTACAAACAAAATCGATCTAATCTAACTACCATAATTTCGGCGAAAAGGGTGTCCATCCTCAACCCAAAACAGTATCAGGAGGGGACAGAACCAAGAGCGCACAAGCCACCAGAAAAGGGGCATGCGCTTATCTATGCTGTTCGGGGAAGTACTATCCCAGAACCGAACTACAACTTCCCCGAGTGTCAGGCGACTCCACTATTTTCCGGAAGATCCTGGAGCCTGGAGGAATATTATGTTTCCTCACGTGCTCCACAGGACCCTATTCGAGCGGAATTACCATTTCCATGCTGCTGGAAGAACAATTCCACTGGAAGATCTTCCTAAAGTGGCTTGGAACGGTTGATACTGATCCTCGACCAAATCCCGTTCCCATGCCATCGATACGTGCGTCGACCCATCCACCCTTCCACCAGCGAACGTTGGGACAATATCGTGTGAACTGATCAATTATGCTTCCATTACGTATGTCCACGTATACCGTTCCTTAATTTACTATGTATATCACACCTCTTTAGTACGGTCTCAACCGTCTATTATCCTATTACCCGCCAACAAAAGAACAAAGCTTATCCACCAAGCCACAAAGCTATTGAAACATGAAAATGGCTCTATTCTCTCATCATCGAATTTCGGCCGCCGTCGGACAATATCGGAGATGACCACTTAGATCGACCACAAAGGACAATAAGGTTGCGACTTCTAGTGAATGGAACCACGGACCACCATGCTCCGTGAGAAGGTAAATGGAGCTGACATGAATGGCTTCAGTTGAAAAGGAAAAGCTTACCCTCCCAACAACCCCACGGACCAACGGCACCGGTGCAAAACAAGAGGTCTGAGAGCTGAACCACTATTTACCGGACCATGGCTACGGATGAGATGAGATAAGATTAGTCCTCTGCAGCATACACTCAGTAAATTTTTGACTAGAGTCTAATGAATTATTTGTAAGGTAACTACAGACCTTATGTTAGGAGAAAGAACCGGGGATAGCCTCGGGTTTGTGCATACGCATACCCGGTGATTGACCTCGGAAGAGGTCCGAGGGTATTATATTCGGATATTATGCGTCTCAGTACGTTGAGCTGACAGGGATTTGAAAGAGTCCAGTCCTCTACGGTGATTGTTGAGTTGGGTATATTATCTTATAGTGCTCGACTAGTTGCTAATTGGTACAGTTGATCAAGTGGATGGTTGCCAATAGTTATTTATAGCCCCTGGGTTATAGAGATGTGCATACCTCTTATATGAATCAGGTAATAGTAATTATCACCAATAGAAACTATCTTTGCTGTTCTTTTGTCTTGGCCATACTACCACAGCGTCTCATATGGGAAAAGGAAATGAGAGAGAATAGATTAAGGCCCTCCGTAGACATGGACCACAAACACACCCTCTCCTTTAGGAAATGAAACAAACAGAATAAAGAAAGAAAGAAATACCGCAAAACAGAAAAGAAGGGAAGGGAAGAGAACCTCCCACGGAACAACCTGAAGCATCCTCGTAGTAGACCAAATCAACCCAACCCTCCCCAGCCAGAACTAAAGTAGACACACGCAAATCCAACCAGTCCTACTGGCTCAGTTTCCTCCTATCCAGAATCCACTGCTTGACTATCATCGGGTCCGTCCGGTCTTCTTCATCTTTTAGCTCCAAGTAGTCGCCGTCCCCAGTAAGGGCCACTCTTGGTATTCTGGGTCACCGAAGGGAGAAGTCCGGAGCCTTCCAGGTCGATCTCTTCTTCTTTTCCGGGGATTTACAGATTCACCTTGCACAGCTGATATTGCAAGTGGGGGGGGGAGGGGAAGAGGCAGAGGGTCTCGGCGGTTTCTGTGAGGAGGTTTTGGGGTAGACTGGATTTCATTTTTCCCAATGTGCGTGGTTTAGGTGAAGGTTAATTTGATTAGTGAACGTGGAGGGATAAGGAAGTTTGAACATCCTGGTCTAGGCCACCTGGGCCACGACGAAGGAAGGGTGTAAGGTGCATATCTTTGGTTCCTTTTGTGATTCGTTTAATCATGAGTGGAGGTGCTCTTGGACGTGCGTCTGGAGTGATTGTTGGCCGTTGAAAATGTACGATGGATAAACTTCTTCAAGTGTTCGAGTTGACTTCAAGTTGTCAATGGGGACTATCAACCAAATACCTACTTGGATGGTAAACATGAAGGATCAGTCGACGACTTGATGAAGAAGACATTTGATTAGATCGAATCCTAGTGATTTAGCAAATACGACGAGAATGATTGCAGCTGGGGGCGACTCTGGAGACACCGTCTTCGTCTTGCCACCTTGGAATATCATCGGATATCGCCGTGCGACTTCCTCCGATGATGCGTCTTCCCTACACTGGAAAGCCCTGGGATAAACCTGCGACATTCTGTGTTAAAAGTACATCTCTTAATATATATGGAACAGACTGGTCTCCTTGTTATTTCTTGGTACATTATAGTCACATTTTTGTCATTAAATCTGTATATTCTACTTATCCGTCTCTTGCCGATGAGCACTCCCACAGATGCGTGTTCTACGCACCCAAGCTAGTGCATGTTTCTCCCTGAGCCAAAGTCTTGACCCTCATTCCTTCGTGAAATGATACCTCGTTCGATGGAATGCACCCATTCTTCTATATCTCTGTGAACATATGATACAGGTACAAGAACTAAGGAGATATATATTTCTTCGATGTTTTGATTAGAGTCAATAAGAATGACTAGATACTAATCAAGGAGTGAATAATCTTCTTTTGCTTCGTGTCTAAACTTCAAGGTATCGAGACTCATCTATTTACTTAAAAGAAAAAAAAAAAAAAAAAAAAGAACTTTTAACAATAGACCGTATTGAGAATATTGTAGATAGACTTACAAGTTAAGATATGTTGAGAACGTATCCAACAACAGAAATTTGTTTTGACCGTGATGTAGATATAGTCTACCCTATGGCGGACTAAATCGACAAAACGGTTAAAATGATAATGTTTTTCTTTATCATACAGACCATTTTATTCCCAAGAAGAGCTGTTGATATGCTGTAGGCTTAAATTGCTCCCAGTTCAAGTAATATGATTTATGGGACGATCTTGAATGATGTGATTTCGTATCCTTAGATGTTGTGCATCGCGCCTCAGTGTTTGAGGATATCATGTGCCTGTTATTTATGATTTGTTGGAGGGTTCGTTTGGACCCATGCGTAGGCTACATCTTCCAACGATGCTTCTAAATATCAACGCATCGTAACAACTCACTCCATCTTAATAACCAGCTCCGGATAACTATCCTCATCATACCATTCCCCCCAATCCACGCTGCACAGCCGGCCTCTCCGCGATACGATCCACCCAATGCCCCCAAATAAAGTAAAGCCAAAACCTCATCCTCCGAGAACCCAATAGACCGATACGTCCGAATCCAAGCCCACGCATTGATCTCCAACGATATTATATTTCCCCTTACCGGGTTCGGCGAGGTACTCCCGCGCGTTACCACTATATATTCCTGACAGATGCGTCTCAAGGACCTGGTAGATTCGGAGAACCTCGTTTCTAAAGCGTGTCGTTGCATGTAGAGGAAGAATACCAGTACTACTTTACACCTAAAAATAGGTTAGGAGGATATATATATAAATATATATACGAGGATCAGTCGTACCCACCCCTCCGGAAATAATTATATTGTCCCTGGATTGGTTGTCCTGATGTGTGCCAGAAGATCAACCATTGATAGGCTTCGCTTTGTTCGATTGGGTCTGGAAAACCAGGATTGGTGGTTCTTGTCGACGCTGGAGATGAGGTAGAGCAGTTCTGCCGAGGATTCCATGACCGAGTACGGAGGGTCTCTGGTGTTGTCTCTTAGGATGGGGATTCGGCCTGACAGGATGAGACTGGTTGTACAGTCGAGGCCGTGGACATCCCTGAGTTCTTCCAGGAGGATGTGGACTTTTTTCGTCCGTTCGGTGTTAGGGAGGTTATTAGATGGATGTCCTTGATTCATTGGTTATTTTGCATTGTGAATATTTGAAGATTTACCTGTGGCATTATTGACGGGATCAGGGTTTTGTCAGCGTAGAAAGAAGACATTGTTTAAGCAGTCTCGGTCCGCGCTTCGATAAAGTTGTTCGTTCGTTAGCAAGGCGAGGAGTGAAAAGAACCATCATGACAGGTAAATCAACGCTTAGTATACGCCGAGATAGCCCCGCTATCTTGAAGCCGACGCGATGATTTACTCCAAAGGCATTATTATAGCCCTTGATTAGAACGAAGTGCTATCTTACCTCTACAGTGCGATATTAGCATCATGACCTACATACGAAAGCTGTTATAGGATGTAAGACAGTAGATATTCAAGACAAAGTGCCAGGGTAACTCATGGCATTGTCTGGTATAAATTAAGATTCAACCTGTATAGCCTATATAAGATTCCACTCATCTATATTGAAGTGTCATGTCGTAAAGATCGTATGAAGTTCAATCAAAACCTCGTCATCGTGGTCCCTAGTTGGTTTGCGGACGGCAAGCCTTAGACAACTCAAATTATGCCTGGTAAGAGAGCGTCATAAATGTCGGGCTCTAATGCCCCAGTTATGGGACAGAAGAGAGCGCAGATGGTAGCGACTGGACAGCCGGTGTGGCCCAACTAAATATTAAAGGTCTCGGAGGGAACTGCTTCCGTATAGCCTAGGGCTTTTAATCAATCCTTGGCGCCTCGTGAACTCCCTCTGTTGCTGATTTGTTGCCAGTTTCCGCACCCTTGACCGATTCGGTAGGCTCGGAGCTGTCGGATCTCGCAGCCAGGTCCCGCTCGAGCTGGGCCTTCTCCTCGTCGGTCGCATCAGTGACGTGAACAGCAACTTCTTCTCCAAAGTTCTTTGCAATTTCCTCGAGTGTCAACCGCGCAGTCTCGGGGAAGAAGTAGTAGATCACTGCGTAAATGTAAGCGAGAGCGGGGAGGCTGACGGGCATGAACACCTACCTGGAATGAAAACAGCTGACCAGCAGATGATGACCAGATAGTATTTCCAACCAGCATTGTTGAAGCCCATAGGGGCGGTCTGCAGTAAAATGAGGGTGGCTATGATCAGTTAGTCATTTGCGCAACTCACAGGAACGTATGTAGGATATCTAAAACGCACCAGCAAACTGTCCAAAAAGCGAGAAACCCATGCCAATTGGTCGGATTTCGGTCGGGAAAATCTCAGAGACGTAGAGATACATGGTTGTATCGCAAAAGGTTCTGTAAGAGATAAGTAGTTGTTCGATATAACGATCAAATTAATGGCTGGTACTAACCCCTGGAAAGCCAAGTAGAGGTAAATGAAGAAGATTCCAAATCCGTTTCCAACCCTGTTCGTGGTGCCTGCATATTCGGAGGTCATAGCAGCCAAGCATGAGGTGGAGATGATAATGCCAACAAAGCCAGTGATATACATGCCACGCCGTGAGTTGACCTTGTCATGAAGCCAGGCGCCAAGGGGGTTGTAGATAACGCCTGGTTATACTGTTAGCGCGCATCCTTCAAGCACAACCATACTCTCTTACCAGCTGTAGTTAGCCAAACAGCACTTAGCAGCAAAGGCATGCCCCCGGTCATGCCAAGGTTGGTGTATAGAAGGACAGCATAATTATTCTACGCAGGTCAGTACATCCAGCACAAACTTGGCCTCTGGAAGCTTGATACTCACAATGATCAATGGCCCACCAAATTCAGCGCCCCATTGCGTCAGGAAGCCAATTGCCATTCGCTTTCTGTATGTCTTCTTCCGTAAAACTGCGTTCCACACATTGCCATAAGTGGATAACCTCTCTGCTTCAAGGCGGATCTGCTCCGCCGTCTGGAAATATTCCTCCTTAGCAACCAGATTGTCGGGATCATCCGGTGACTGGCGAAGTTTCTGAAGCACAATCTTAGCTTCCTCATGCTTCCCTTTGGCAATAAGCCATCGAGGGGAACGAGGGAGCCATGGTGATCCCAGAAGCAGCACTAGCGCTGGCAGGCACTGGAGACACAGGGGAAACCTCCAGCCGAAACTGCTCAATTTTCCTTCAGCGAAGTAGCATGCATAACCGACCCAGCCAGCAAGCATGTAACCGAAAACCAGGAAGATCGCATGATGACCGACCAGCCAACCACGACGGAAAGCACTCGACATCTCGGACAGATACATGGGGCAAACAGTCACGAGGATACCGATTCCAAGACCGCACACAAACCGACCGGCTTGGAACATCCTGAAAGCCCGTTAGGAGGTCGTCTCTGGAAAAAGAACTGTGACGCAATACATACTTGAGAGAGTTCGCACCTCCTTGAAGCGCCCCTCCAAACATCGAAAAGAAAGCACCCAACTGAATATTAACCTTTCGACCAAAGTAATCGCAAGACCACATTATGAATAGTGTGCCAACAGCACCCCCCGCACTGAAGACGCCATTGGCGGTGGAAATGGCTGGTGTCGTAATCGAAGCATATCCCGGTTCACCCTCTTGTGGAAGATCGAAGTAGGTATACCACCCTGGTTGACCGATCGTACTGGAGATGATTGAGGAGCAATAGCCATAGGTCTATAACGGGGCCAATTAGAATTCATAGCATTGCCAGGCAGGCATCAAGTGAGACAACGCTTACCATTGAACCAACAGCGACGAAAATAGCGACCAGTTTGTTATAAGTGCTGGTCTGGGACCCGAACGTACCCATGATGGACAGGTCGCTTTTCCCTTGCAGGGATTTGCACTGAGCCGAGTTTGAATTGTTTCAAGGAGCAGAACAAAATATGATAGAACAAATGCGATACGGAATTGACAGGTCAATTCATATGACCAGGGACTCTTCACTACACGAACTCCGTACGTACAAATGTTTGCGTCCCTTCAAGAAGCTCCAAGGAGGAAGAAGAAAATTTGTCGAGATAGAACTGCGAGCTACCGTGAACTAGCTTCACAGAGGATCAACACGACCAGCTTCGAGACTGAAATTTTCGACAGCCACTTCAGTAGTTAGTACAACGATAGGAGAACAGCTTTCGCCGCCACCCACTCCTTTATTGCATTAGTCTCCAAGAACTAAGAACTCATGGCGGGAAAGCTGCAAGGCCACTATTCAGTGCTAGTAGGACGCATGGCATGGTGTGCATTGGCGAGGGTGGACCGCGGAGAATGTTTGGGGTCCACCTTCTGTCAAAGTCTCGAGTCTGAGAGGTACGATTTCTGGATTAGGTGCTTGCTGCATGATGAGTCCGGCACTAAACCTTGAAATGGTGTGTGGGACATTTTGCTCGTCGCCTCGTGTATTTTGATAGTCTATGTGAGTGGTGGTTTTAGTAGGGATTCGAGGCGTCAGCGGCAGAAAACCACTAAACTGTGTTCGGGAAGCCCATCGCCCGTGACTTTTTTTTTTTAATTAAGTTGTCTCTGAAATCTCCACCACCTTCCCAATACTCTCACATTCTATGACTACAATTATGGAATGATTCCTTCGGGCCGTCAACACTGATCCCTATGCCCATGCCACCAGTACAAGTTGGGACCACAGACTTGAAAACGATTATTTACCTAGTCAGCGTCCCCACAGACTGAATCTACTGAGCCTACTGAGTCCGACATGCTAGTTCCGGCCAATTTATACGAAGGAGGGAGGCTAGTTGCCGATTGCCGCAGTGATTGGCATGATCCCTTGCCTCGCCATTCGCTCATTCTGATGCATGACTATGCAAATCCCATACCGTTTGGTTGCCCTTAAAACTTGGTATGGCCGGGTTTAAACCTACTCACCCAATTGGCAAATCCCGTCCAGACGGTTGATTATCCTTTCCTTCTACGAAATTCAGTGCGTGTCTGTGCTCCCTTAAGGAACTCAGAGTTCACACACGTTGCAATGTCCATATGCTCCACTTGATGCCTGCACGTTACAAAGTACGTTGACCGGTTTTTGTGCCGTACCGTTAGCTGGGTCCCCTTGTGGCCCCAAGCGTTTTTATTCGAAGCTGTCGCCTGCCCCCCGCTAGACACCGTCCCACCACGATAATTGCGCCCCTCCCAAAATCGTTTGACTCAATGATTTTGGTGGACAAGTGGGTGTCGAATGCACGCATTAAGCTTAGGAAAGCTAACAGCAAATTTAAAACTTGATAACCTCACCGTATAACAGCTGACCTGCTACATGTGAAACTGACCTTTCACGCTATTTCTTGTTATCTTCTTCCTGTTCTAAAATATACCTTGCTGCGTACATTGGTTCGCTCCTTTACAAGTAGATTGGTTCGCCGTTAAAAGATCATGGGTAGCATCTCCCCCTTCGATGTCCCTTTTGACGAGCTTCCCAACCCCAAACAAGTGTGGGTGGGAAAGCCTGGTAGTTATGAAGAAGGACTTGGGAAGTTAGCCATTCTGACCCCCGAAGTGGTGGCTAAAGCCGCTTCAACTGAAATCAAAACTGGTCGGAGAGTTACGATGGGGTGGGATTTAACAAAGTTGAACTATCCTAACCTAAACCGTCAGCCATGCCAGCACAAGATTGTCCCTCTTCTGGGTGGAGTGGCCTATGATGATATTTACACCATGAATCCTCGTGGGTTTTCAAATGTACCTGAAGCGTGGTAGCGGTCACATCTAATAACCCGAGCATCTAGAACAAAGTAGTCAGTGGGATGGACTGCGACACTTCTCTCAAACCGTCCCTGGTCAGACCGAGCGTGTGTTCTACGGCGGTGTGACATCTGAGGAGATCAATGACCGTAGCAACGATCGGATTGGTATGCAGCACTGGGCGCGGGAAGGTATTGCAGGTATGGATCTTCTCCTTGCCCCTTGGTGTTCTCTCCTGCATCTCTCCGAGAGTATGAGCCTCATTCTGTGGTCATAGGTCGCGGGGTAATGATTGACTACGCCGCATGGGCGGAGAAGAAGGGAATCACGTACAGCACCTTTTCCACTCATCAGGTGCGACTATCAGACATCCAGGAAATTGCGAAGGAGTGCAACATCACGTTCCAGAAAGGCGATATCCTGTTTGTTCGGGTGGGAGTAACCAGGGAATGGGACACCGTGATGACGGATGAGCAAAAGAAGCAATACTCGGACAACCCGAGCCCGGAACACGCTGGCGTCGAAGCCACGACAGATATGCTCCGCTGGCTTTGGGACTCTGGGTTTGCAGCGATTGCCAGCGACACTATTAGCTGGGAGGTACGTAAAGTTCCTGCAGGACGCATGTTTCGAGACCGCCGGCACTAATAAACTTGTGACAGGTCTATCCACCCCAGTCTGATGTGTTCCTGCATGAATATGTACTCGCAGGATGGGGAATGCCAATCGGTAAGTTGAAAATCTGAGCGGCTTCGGGAAACCGTTGATGGATCTACTCTAATTCATGTGATAGGCGAACTCTTTGACCTCGAGGCATTGGCACGCATCTGCCAGGATCTCCAACGATGGAGCTTCTTTGTGGCGTCTGTGCCGTTGAATATGCCCGGTGGCGTGTCATCGCCACCGAACATCATGGCTATCTTCTAGATGCATCACCTCTGCCGAAATCGGGCCCAGGCGCTGCAAAAGGACCATCTGCAATATCCGGGATCGTGCATTTCTAGTGCATTCTCCTACGGGGAATTAATAGCACGTATTATAGCAACGACCACCATGAAGAACAAAAAAGGACCAAGATAGAAATGAAAGAAACCACGTTCAAAGTTTCACAATAGTAAGGACATCGAATGCCTTGCTATATCTATAACAAAGTGCATTACTACTTGCCCAAGTCCTCCCCATTGTATGCTTTATGAGAAATCTTTGTTGGAAAGGGTTGCCTCTCGACAATTGAGAGTGCAGCATCCACATGGTTGCAGGACGCACACCCACACTACCCCTGTAGGGAAAGATATCAAGGGGGGGGTTCAATTTGCCTGAAACTAGTCAAGTCAAGTCAAATCAAGTCATATCAAGCTCCGAATTACTATGACTAATGCAGCTGGGCAGGGTAACTATCAGATGGTCGAGCTGCATACGGAGATTTCCCGAAAATTAATATAATAATATAATATCATGTCAGTTCCCGGGCTTGGCTCCTGTGCTAAGACAACGGGCTTCGGTTAATCGGGACTGCGTCTAAATCGCTCAGGATAATGAAAGAATCCTTCATCAGTCCCTCAGGTGTATCCATTTGGTAGGGTCACCCCGACATATCATTACTAGGTAGGGCTTAGTTTTGAAGGGTTACAGCCGATTAGCGCCTCCACTTCGGGCGGGAAGTGGATTCCGTTACGGTTCCAAAGAACCTAAAAGCCGGTAGTCAATGGAGCGTTTTAGGTAACATTTGACTCCTGACGCTTGGGACACGGACACCGAGAAAGGTCCGACACGGTCCCACCTCTACTTCCACCCAAATCTCGACACTCTTTCCATCTGGCTATCGAAAAGCTTTCAGGCTAACGGTTCTCTGCCGGGAAGTCTTGGGACTCTTGGCTGTCTCCATGTCAGGTTCGACCTTCTGTCAGACTTGATTTCGAGCACCTAGGAAAAGCAACGGCCGGCAGTCTCCCCCATCAGGACGGCAAAAGCCCACCAGTCCGGCTCTATGGTAGTGAAATCTATGGAGGGTTCGTCACGATACCTCTATTCTGGATTGGATCTGCATTCCTTGGCCGCATATTCTCGTGCCAATCATATAGCGAGATCATGCAAAGCATCAGTCGATCCATACCATTGTGTGTGGCATTTGCCATGCCATGCCATTTTAACAGCCATCACTTTTTGATTTTTTCAGTCTGAAAACTGAGGTGGTCTCTTGACACTATTAGGAGCACTAGTTCCTCTCTTTCGTGCTCTTCCCTTCCGGGGCAAGTCCTAAGCTGGGTCCCGAATACTTAGTCGGCGATACGGTTCAAAATTTATGTTAGGTTTCAATGTAGATTTGATCGGTCCAAGCTTTGACGGGGTGTTCTCCTGTCCCCTCTCGTACTATAGCCCTAACTCCTATTTCTTTAATACCCTGTCTTAATCTCGGCCTTAAACCCTGTCTAGTCAGTTGCACTCACTGCAAAAGGTGGCCCATGGTGCCAATCACCCAACATGGCTCTCGAACAGCTCTTCGAACGAGACGATGCCAAACCTATTGACAGGACAGTACAGAAATGGAACACAGCGACTCAGTCACTATGCATCGCTGCAATGACTCTGTTCTTCCTAATGCGTGCATACACCCGAGTCTTCCTTCTCAATGGCTTTAACAAAGAAGACTGTGAGTGACATCCTTGCCGGGAGAATAAAAGTTTGCATGCTAACTCCACACAGGGACCTGTTTAGGTGCTTGGGTAAGTCCTTGAATCTCTATAAGCAATCATCGGTGCTAAAGTCATGCGTGAGAACAGCTCCTTGGAGTCTGCTACTCCGTCATTGCGCTCATCAGTAAGTAATGCATAATTCACAAACCTGTACCAGTCTAACCAACCCGCAGTGGGCGCCCATGGAGGAGGTCTACACATCGACGACGTATCCCCCCATGACCAGGTTGTCTTCCAAAAAGTAATACCACAACCTCTCCAAAATGCTACACCCTACTGACCCCTCCAGACCGTCTACGTAACCATGGTCATGTACGGACCAACCGCATACCTGACCAAAGTCTCACTCCTCTGGATCATGACCCGAGTATTTAGTCCATTCCGCAAAGCCGTGACCTTCATCTACATCTTCCTCGGTGTCATGCTGGCCTACTACATCCCCGCCGTTATCGTCAAGATCCGAATCTGCGACCCGATCTCCAAATTCTGGGCACCCGATCATCCGGGCACATGTCTCAATCAGCGTTCCATTATCATGGCCGACGCTGTCGTCAGCGTGGTCAGCGACCTTATCATCCTCCTTGTCCCATTACCATTAACCCTAGGTCTACAACTCCCAACGAAGAAGAAGATGCGAGTCATGGGTATTCTCGGTGCAGGAGGTCTCGCCGTCGCATCGAGTATCATCCGGCTTATATTGATTGTTTACACGGGCCAGTCGGAGGATGGTACCATGGCGTTTATGCGGATTAACATGTTCGGGTAGGCATCCATGGACCCTTGACCCGTATATCCTATTGCCAGTACCTATTACTAATTAACCTCAATCAAACAGAAATGCTGAAATCGCCATCGGCGTCATCTGCGCCTGTCTCCCTGCCCTTTCGGCCATCCTCTCCCGCGTCTACCACGAATACTCCAACAGCAACAAAGCCACCGGCGGAACCTCCGGTCACGAGCTAAGCAAGATGAAGAACCAGAGCCGCAGCATGAAAACTGACAAAAGTCGAAGCCGCATGAGCTATCTGGAGATGACCTCGGACCAGGACGTTCTGATGCATAATGCTCAAAGCGAGCCGAAGGTTGAAACGACCGTTCACGGAGACCGGAATTATTATGGAAGCGAGAACCCTGGTGGATCGCTCGCTATCTTCAAAACGGTTGATGTTGAGACTTCCGTAACGAGGAGGGAGTGAGGCTTTTCCTTGTCTGGATTATGAGGATTAAAAAAAAAAAAAGTGTCAAGCTTATTGGGCGTATCTGGGTTTTGGCTACTTTGCTAGGGATCTGATAGGCTCGTCTTTGGGTCTTTTTACGATGTTTTCTATGATGATTCTGTATATGTGCTATAGTTAATTTAATGATATTTGATACCCAATTTGGTTTTTCTGGTGTGTTTAGAGGTGGATGAGAAACTGGCCCTACTACAAGCGACTGCTGCTTGAGACCACCACCAATATATATCCCCCAAAAAAGAAAAACGAAAATGACTACCTAGAGATATAGTTCCCCATACCTAAGTTGTCACTACAGAGTATAGCCAACACATACTATACAAACCCACAATTCCACCCTACACCACCCTACACTTCACCAACCCCCCAAGACCCTCCAACAAGGAGCACGGAAATTGTATCCGAACACGCACCAAAAACTTTCCCATCATCAAGAACAACCATCACATCAATTTCCCCGAAGTATTCCCTTAAAGAAAACAGAGAGACGACAAAAGAAGAATTCCCTCAGAAAGCAACCTCAAACTTAATTCCTTTAACGTTGAAATTACTGAAGAACCTTAATTTCCATCTTAAATTTCTAACAGCCTTCCCAAACTTCCATGGTTAATTTAATTACGATCCATGCCTATTAACCTTTGAAAAGTAAGTTCTAATCTAATTTAGTCGTTTTTCGGGGGCCGAAAAGAGGAGTAACCTAATTATATTTTTTTTTTTTAAAAAAAAAATTAGCGTTGAGAGCACATTTTCGTGGTCTTGACTAGTTTCGGAGATGCTTACTTGCATTTTATTTTTGAGTTAACTTTTTTTTTTTTCTTCATTATTCCCTGCATGTTTTTTCCCTGTTTGTCGGTAGTCTATAGATGGAAGAGAGCAATCAATCTTTACAATTTAGGTACTGCATTGATTTAAGTTGGGATCTCGATGATCTTCATTTAATCTATGGCGTGCTCGATATAGACCTAGACCTAGACCTAGATCTTTGTAATAGTCAATAGTATTGACACAATGACCCTCATATCGAGAGGTATGCTGTCACTTGTAAACCTACTTCGTAACTTTCTGAGCGTCTGTGTGCCACGAGAGTATGCCTATCAATCGAACATGGCCGTCATAGATCGTGTTGGGGTGATACTATACCCTATTTGCATCTACGGTGGCACTAAAGCGTGTCTTCTTCATATTGTCCTGGGGTTTTGACTTTTTCTTCTTCTGTCTCTTCTCCTCTATTCCCTCTCTATTCTTCCTTTCTTCTCCCTTGCTCACTCGGTGAGAAAGGATGAATGTCTGGAATCTGACAGATAGTTCTGAATCCTTCCTCTCATTGAGTAGGGGTAGAGTTGCCAAGCTATACACACACACACACACACACATTATGAAGCAGAACGCAGAGAGCACTTAACCCTAACTTACACTCCCTATACTAACTCCATTTCACCACAACACAAGGCGCCTCACCCAATTTTACCCGAGAAAGCTAGCAATGAATAGCATGTATCCCTCGATCTGAGAATGTGTAACAGGCTACGAAATAGCAGTTATACTGACTGCAGGCATCCATCTTACGAGTGCAGTCTCTTCAACCATTATCTCGATTTCAAATGATTAGGCTATCTTGTCTCTAGCCCTTGTCATTATGGATAGTGCGAGGCAACGTCAAATATCGGACTCGGACACGGCCCGAGATGATTATTTGAACGCCCGGGGTGGTCGTGTGTTGTATTGATTTCGTTGTGAAGAGTTATTTATGTTCTGGTGTTTCTTTTTGAGTCAAGGAACTATTGGGTGTAAGTATACAACGGTAACTAGAATATCAACTCTACGCCATGTGATGATGTTGGGTCTATGCATCAGCTGGAAGAATTGTTGATTATCTAAGGGATATATTTCACGCGGGGGAAATGGATTATTCTGCCCAGAATCCATCCATATGGACTCCCTCCTCCCGTTAGGTCTGGGGGGTAAGATAAATCAATGCGGAGAGGTGGAGAGTTCGTCCAATGGGTGCGATGCAATAAAAGCGTTCGGCATTCGTACCGCACCTCCGCATTTTCACCCCTCCTTGTCCCTCGGATAACTCTGCGTAGCGACCAGTATATCTTCTCTTGTATTCTTATGATTGTCAATTAAGATCCCTAAGCATTTTCATTCTCTCTCAAGAAAACATCATATACTATATTAAAACATGACGAGACAGTTGACTCCCGGTGCGCGGTTGCAGGGCAAGGTTGCTATTGTTACGGGTACATTGTTCCTATTCCTATTATTCGTGGCGTGGGATGCATCTCGCTAATAATGAATCAGGTGGTGGTTCGGGCTTTGGTGCTGCGATTGCCCGTCGATTCGGCGAGGAGGGGGCTAAGGTGATTATCACCGATATCAATGCAGAGGGGGGACAGAAAGTCGCCGCTCAGAATCCGGAGAGTCTGGTCTTTCAGCAGATGGATGTCACCAAGGCTGAGGATTGGACGACCGTTATGGATCTGGCATTTTCAAAATTCGGAAGACTGGATATCTTAGTTAACAATGCTGGGATAACTTATCGGAACAAGGTATATATGGATCGAGACCGGAATTATCGCTGAGGCGTGTCCGCTGATTCGCAGTAGCCAACGGCCGAAGTCACCGAAGAGGAATGGGAGCGTGTCTTCAACGTGAACGTTAAAGGAATCTTCCTCGGCTCTCAGGCCTTGGTGACTCGTTTAATGGAACAGGGCCAGGGCGGTTCGATGATCAATATTTCGTCTACTGGTGCGTCGCGGCCGCGGCCGGGGTTGGTCTGGTACAATGCCTCTAAGGGAGCGGTGTCGAATGTAAGATCTCCTTTTGACTCCGTGGACTTCTGCGCGAGTCTGGCAGTTGGCTAACCCGAACAGGCTACGAAAGGTCTCGCAGCTGAGTATGGTCCTCACAATATCCGCGTCAATACCGTTAGCCCCCTTCTATCAGGAACCGGCCTGTTTTCCATGTTTACCGGGATGCCTGATACGCCTGAGAACCGCGAGAAGTTTATCGGGAATGTGCCGCTGGGCCGTTTGACAGATCCTGATGATGTTGCAAACATGTGTCTATACTTAGCTAGCGATGAGGGCAGTTTCATAAACGGAGCAGAGATGATTGTCGATGGAGGGAAGTGTATCTAGTTACTACCTCCGTCCTCTCTTGGTATCTTACTGAATAATTATTCCTGAGCATTCAACCCAAGCAATACATGTTGAAAGGTGTAACAAGCATGGATGTCGGGAGGTGCTACACGCTGTGTCAATGTCAGGGCATACATCGGCACCAAAATACGGCATGTACACAATTTCACGACCATGCAGAAGGATCAAAAAGTGATAGATCCTCCTCTAAGAGTCCCATCATATGTTGGTTTCCCGAGAACCAGCTGCCCAATGTAGTCGGGGGCATAGTGTTATGGAATCCTTGACCTTCGACTCCTTCGCTCAAGCCTTGGGGGATAGGTCCTGGCACAGGAACAGGACCATTCCATCGGACATCACCGGCTTCGGGCTGTGTAGGCGCTAAGCCAAGAGCACTCAGATAAACATCAAATTCTTGGCCCACGGACGCCAGATCTTCGTTCTCTTGCGTCTGGGCCTGCGCTTTTGCCTCGACATATAATCTCGCAACATTGCTGAGGACCTGGCAGAGCCGGTGCATTTTTGCAATAGCCTCCGACAACGAACAGTTGGGCTGGAGCGAATTGACAAAATCTTCCAGACGTATCAGGTCTGAATAGGACGAAGACTCAATAATATGGCAAAACAGAACGATGAACGGCACGAATGGTGAGTACATTATCGTCCTGTTTATATAATTAGCTATTCGCAATGACACTAAAACTAAAAGTAATATGTTCCACTCATACCAGTGTAGGTACGAACACTTGACGTCGTTACTTCTGTTGCCTTCCTCCATCATCGTCATGCAACTTTGGTGTAGTTCCAGTGTCACTCGTGCTGTCTCAATACATTCGTCTATGAAGGCACTCCGACTATCCGCAGCTGCAGGGATAGCTCTGTATATTAGAGTCAACACAGACAGGCGGCAGACTTCATCCGACTTGAGGTAAATCTCATCAAGTGCAGAGAGGTTCGCGAATTTCGGGCTGGCCTTCTACCTAGTTTCAGCCTTGTACCAATACAACATAATAGTTTAGTCCACTTTTGGAAGCATACCTTGATTGGCTCTTCAACGCTCGTTTGCATCTCTGCTGCTAATTGACGGGCGTATGACGCCCTTTCGTTTGCAGGTTTACGCAGGGCTGTAGGGCTGTAGAGCATCTCGTACACCTTACCCTGGATTCTAGCTAAATTAATCCATAGCGGATAGATAGTTCTCCACGGCTCGAGGCCTCCATGAAGTTCAATTGTTGTTGGCACAGATATGTCATAATCCTGTATAGATGATGCGCGGCCTAGCCGCAGCGAAAGGGCTTTCTCAGTGACATAAACTGACCAAAATAGACAGCGCTTATTTTGCTTCACGGGTTGACTGTCGTTCTCCATTGATGAAGCTCGATGATAACCGAGCGTCTGACACAGCCGAAATGCGGTTGACGTCAACGCCAAAGCCAAGGAGGGTTTCGAGATTTCAATTGCGTGAATAGCCTAGATGATCAGTATCTCCAACAGATCATCTATAATGCGCGAACTTACTCCCATGGTAAGCGCTTCTATTGACTCCATTGTTGCAGGCATCAAAAGATTCAGGTTCGCTAGACCTGTCTCAAGGTTAACACGACAGAGGTCGTGATATTTATCATAGATCTCTCGTTTTGTGGCGTCGCTTTCTGAGAAGCTAATTTCACTAAAAATATATACCAAGCAGGCATTTACCACGATGAACGTAGCGTCAGAGTACTCCTCGGTGGCAAAGTACACCTGGCGGCACTTCTCGAAAAGACTGTCCGCTGTTATAAAAGGGAAGAACCCTAGCAAGATAGTTTTTGTAGGGTCCTCTGTTGATAGCCAGTTAGAAAACGCCATTGTCTATGGGAGCATACAGCCTATAGTACCTTTCAATCGGCGCAACAGGGGTAAAACAACCTGTACAGGAGGCATGTTCAGATTCCGCAGTCCTGATCTCGGTATAGCCTTTTGGTTAGGGAAGCGAACGTCTCGTGAGGAAGGATGAGCCTGATAATCCTGCATGTTGACAAGCTGCTTGAGCGTCGATAGGGCAGTGTTGATCGTTGGACTGGAGAGTTGCAGCGCGCTGCGTGAGACCGCTGTCTCCAGAAACTGACTCGCATAAGCCGAATGGGCTGCAAGAGACGAATTGCCCTCGAATGCCGGGCCAGACTCGTGTTGGTCTAACGTGGCGTTGATGTCAGATGCAAGTCCAGAAGCAGACGGAGTCATCTGTCCTGAATCTGGAGTTGCATGGAAGCAAGTGTCGGCAGGAGTACTAGAGGTAATTGTAGACTTCACGTCCCGAAGGACTTGTTCTATGCTGGACAGGCGATCTTCGATCAAGTCAATTTTCTTTTCACTGGGGAAGTCAGAATGGCTCCACTTTCGACTGCGTGGGACACGCCTACTATTGATCGGAGATTAGGACTCGTCTCCGTGGCTCACGAGGCTTTTGGCCTGCGCCTGTGGTGCGACAGAGAATCTGCGAACTACGGCAATTAGAGCAGGGCGACCGTTTGTCACATCGTATCTAACCGGCATGATTAATTAGTTGGGCCCTAAGCCTATAAATGTCTACCGTTTGCCGACGCAGTATACCTTCCTAAGACGACATTGGTCACACTGGACTGTTAGTCTGATTGTTATGCTAAGTAATGCATCCTATGCAAGCGGTCACTCACTGCACGCCGAGTGGGAAGAGACTCCCTGCTATCACTCTCGGGGCCCTCGGGTTCCATTTCTGGGCGTCAATTAGTGTGGTATAACCAAAGGAGGATATTGTATGCGAGTAACACTAATGTCCCACTGGGTAGGGGCTGTTGGAAGAATGTCATGACGAAGGTCTGATGGGGAAGTCAAATACCGTTTCGGATTCCGCGGAACCCGAAGGAACCAGAAGGCAACTACAAAACGTACTCCGTCCCGGATACTGTTATGTATCTTTTAATACTGCATAGTTGGTCGGTCTAGCCAACAGTATATTAGAGTCTATCCTAGTATTTAAAATAAAAATCAATAATATAGATTAAAGGAGCTATTCATTAACTTAGAAGAAGACGTTGAACGTTGCCATTTCGGGCGGCCTGTCTGCTGTTATCTTTTTAAGTAGGAAATACCAATGCAGTCATACCGAAGGCCCTCTTTTTGGCGATGGCCAGACTCATCATTGTATTGTCTATACCAAATTTACGTCCCACGGTATGATTCATGCAGATTGTCTAGTATCCTCTAAATGTTTTCTGCCTTCTTCCTCTCTGCTTAAGCAGTAATTTTATTACCAACAGTAAGCAGGTTACACCACGTCATAAAAATCTATCTCATCGGTAATCGTCATACATAAACCCAGACAGTTATCGACTTAAACAAGGTCTAGATTGCTGGGCGACGCGAGTCATCCACATATGCCAAGTCTAAACAGACTACATCTGAGGTCTTGATTCCTGGTTCCGTATCGTCCCATTGACTTCAAGCAACGAAGCATAGTCTGAAAGGGTTCGAAGCGCACGGGAAGCAAATGCGGTAATCAGGATATTTATCGATTAAGATCCACGAATCTCACTTTTTAATACCGATGACGGCCAGATTCCTTGGACTTACGCTATAATCGAACACGGGCTCAACCCAGCAGTCCTTGACACCGTCATGTTCACGCAGGAATTGCCATCGGTCAACCACGATAATGGCTTCAACCAAAGATGAACTATAGGCCATCAAGCTCCACACGATGCCGAGGTACTTCCTCATGTGCCAGTACTTTTCCACGTAGTCATTTAGCTCTTCTTCGGTGATATCGGCCATGCCTGCTTTCACTTTCTCGCCGTTATGGGGATCCCGGCTAAGCTTCACCACGGCAGCACGAGCATATGCAGGGAAGGAAGCAAAAGCGGACTTTCGCAAGGAGCCGACAATGAGAGGGTTTCCCGCTTCACCGGAATCCAAAGACTCTGCGCCGTACAGTTCTTTCGGGATGGAAGGCTTTGCCACAACCCCACGGTCTACCAGGACTTTCTGGAGGAGAGACCGATAGAAGTGCCGGGTGAAGAAATTCTCGCTGTCTTCCCTGCCCCAGTTATAGGGTGCCTGAACAGCCATAGACCTTGCAGTAATGTTCAGCTTCACACCTCTTCCACTGTCATGCTCATAGTCTTCCAGACGTTTCGACATTGGAAAGCCGTGTGGGTCATACGCGACGGCATCCTTCGTCAGGCGAGGGTGCATGGTTCGAAGGATAGGAAGTTTGTATGTAGCAGGGCCGAGTCTTTCGGTCATCAGGTTATAGCAGCAACCAATCATGGCAATAGCTTTCACGGACGGGTTCAGAACTAAAGACTGAACGCCATGATGAAGCAGATTTCCGCAGGAATGTAAGGAAACAACCATAACCCGGGCATCATTCGGCTTTACATTGCTTTCCTGCTCGGCGCTCGTTGAGTTTTCGGCGGGCGCAACAGACGGTGGCTCAATCACGTCCTTTATGATAGGTTCCAGGTACCCATTCTTAATGTCGTGTTCAATATAATCCATCGTACCTCTGGGCTGATTGGACTCCTGTTTTTTAGCCGCCAAAGCCATCGCTTTCTTATTGGGATCGTTCTTATGTGGAGCCGAGCCGATCTCATCGGGCGCGATACTAATGTCACGGAAGACGTTTATCATAGCAACATCCTCCTCGTCCACGTCTCGATTTGCGCTGTCATCGGGGGTTACGTTCTCCGCTCCTTCTGATTCACGGGGGAAAGCATTCTGGTCTACCGTCACAGGTCCCTCTGCTTCCTCGCAATCTTTACAAGCGGCCTTCTTATTATATAGTCTAATCATTTTCTTCTCCTTTAGTTTCGCAAAGATATCGAAACCCATCGCGCCATTGATGAATTGATGTTTTCTTTCAATAGCAATAATGTGCTGGTTGTATGGAGGGCTAGCAAGGGTCCGCCCAAGATAGCTTTGGCCGGACCCAAAATCCACGACGTGGGTTATGTTCTCGCCCCGCTGCTCATCCGCAGTTGCGCACAGGGAATCGACATATCTCGAAAAGTGTGCTACCTCATGGTACTTCTTGACATTCATCCCCACCGCAATGTGTCTCGGTATTGTTGGTTTCCCAGGTTGTGGGGGCCGGAATTCTCTACCCAAACTAAGCCGTCGGATCTGCTGGAGGTACTCTAAGAGATCTGTCGGAGGTAAGGGAGCTCCCCCCCATTCCTGTCGTGGCTTCGGGTTGCCTCCATCTGTCGCTAGATCCTTGCTCTGATCTAGGAGGGGCTGGAGATCTTCCCTCAGAAATAAGTCGAGGAGGTCCTGGATATCATGATGTTCAAAGAACGCTCGCCAATGCTCCGGCAGAAGCGACGTATAGAGATCCGGTTCGCGCGTCAGAAAGTCTAAGATATGCACGCCGCCGCAAAGGTGGCGGAAGATGTCGGATGAGGTAGCGAAGGACAGAAGGGCGTCGACGTAGGCATCGGGATCAGTCCACTCTTCGGTGAGTGGAAGAGTTTTGGGTCGTGGCATGCGTTCGTTCGACCGTCACAGAGTGCGAAAAGGAAAACAGGGAACCAAAAAAAAAAAAAATGGCGCAACCCAAAAGCGCTAAAGAGAGTATAACGAATAAGAAACGGTAGATAAAAAGACAGTCAAAGATGTCACAAGGAATGTTGAAGGCCGAGAAGATAGAATAATTCCAGAATTTTTTAATTGTTTAATTTTTTTTTTTCTCTTTTGGTAGAGGGGTAAAAGTTTGAACGAGTTCGGTTTAGGCCCGTTACGAGCTCCACCACCGCGGATCTGCGGAATCCAGAGTATGGGGTATGGAGAGCAGGTGTGGAGGTTCGTTTCTCACCCAACCCGACACCATCGGGAATCCTCCTGACACCAACGGTGGGCTCCTGGACTCCCCTGAAATCTCGATCACTTGCTTGGTTGGATTCTGGTGCATAATGACGAAGCCCACAGTGACAGCAATGGGGGCCAGACTATTGGCGATAGTGGCCCATGAGACCTGCTGATCTTAACTTTTAGGTCAATATTGGTGTGCTGCTATCCTATATTAAACAGCCACTAACATCAAATTTCCTCGGGCTAAGAATGGAGCTGCCCGACCGGTTTCGGATTTTAGCATATATAGAGTGAACAAAACTGCGCTGGCAGTTCGCAACGCTCGCGATAGGTTATTTCGCTCTGCCATCTCATAAACGTGAGCGTACTGCGCTCACTGAAGAAAGGAGATATCCCAGGTCAGGCAAGGGGTCTCACCACGTATGATATACTCCTCTCTCCTGACCAGTCCATTTACTTTGTTCAATTATTGTCTCCTGCATCCTGCAGGCTCAGCCTCGCGATCTGCGAAATTACAACAGGCACGCAGATGATTCTCTGCCAACGCGTCACACCGTCGAGAGCTTAATTATATATATGCGGCAATTTTATTCCCCTTGCTGTTAAAGAAATATAAGCAATAGATTCCTCGGCATAAATTAATGATCGATATCTGAAACTGTCACGCGACTCACTCAGTTAGAGCACAAAGCATCTACAGAATTATGGTAAGTAAACACGATGGCTGAGAACGTATTATTCTGTAGTTTGTCATAGAGGTTCCCAGGCACTTGCTGACCCACCTTATATTCACCTAGATAATAACTTCGAAGACGAAGCAGAGGCAGAGGCCCTTAGGCTCCATTCCCGATGTGCTTTTTCAAATCATTATCAATGGAGATATTGGTGTAGTGTTGACACTCTGTTTGGTAAACAAGGCAACCTATGAAGCTATCAAATTGCTTGAACCACACATTTGCCGATGGTTAATGCGAAGCCATGGCATCAGCATATTTGACCCTGTGCTCACTCTGAACCCGCGGACTGGTGAACAGAGAAGACTAACGGTACACAATCTTGCGGGATTTCTTGAGCGCCAGGACATTGCACACAAGCTAGCGTGCCAGATTGTCCCCTCAGTATGGGGTCCCTTCTCAGACGAGGAAAGCCCAAAGATGGACTATCAAGCAGAAAAACGGCTCGTTCAGCGACTAGAGCGAGGGCTATACGTGCTTTTCCACATGGCCGATATTGCTCGTGACACATACAAAACAAAGCAAAAGATAAACCCTCTGGTTCCGGACGTTACCGGGCGCCTATTGGTGCTTACTAGGATGCTGGAAGAGTACCACGACATCCCGCGAAACAAACGTCGCCTAACGTCCTTTCAAGAGTATGCCAGCCACGCTTATACAGTCTTAAAGTGGGGCTATAGAGAAGTAGACATCGGCAGGAGGCGGCTCAAATTCAGAGGTTACCTTGATGAGCAGACAGAGATCGACTTCCACGCCACACTTCGAATGCTGCGGGAGCTTATAGAGGGGATGCTTCTCCGACATGGTCCCAGAGAGTGGCATCGGGATGCGAGGAATGAGTACAGCGTTATCTCATGGTTTCTGCTGAAGCAATCGCCACAGTCCCTAGCAAAACTCCTCCTGAGCCCTCAGGATGAGTGCTGTGGTCTTGAGGAGAAAGCTTCTGATTCCGATGTAAGAAAATGTCAATTCTCAGACCCACTCGATAGCTACTGGCAAGCCTGGAAGAATGTCCCAAAACTGGGCTGTCAGACTTGTGACTGCAAGCGACGAGTGAGGAGCTGGAGTGTGAAACCAGCATTGATTGATGATCGAGGCCGACAATATAACCGCGCTGCGGAGAAGTATTTGAAAGACATGTGGACTCAAAGACACGTTGACCTTCACCAAGTGTTTAAGATGGGCTATTTCAACATTGTTTTATAATGACTAGATGAACGACAATTAGTTTCCTATACCAGAATGAAAATATGAACCGAGAGTTAATGAAATGAACGGTCATCAGAGCTGTAAAGCAAGGGAGGAGATGAGGCCCCACCGCCTTCCCATAACACCGCCTCTGTTTACCGCTTCTACCACCGCCTGGCATCCACCTGTATTGTCCTCGGAGTCCAGAACAAAGTATCATCATTCACAAGTTTCCAGTCCTTCGAGGCTACGGGAATTACCGTTCCATCATTAGTACTTTGAAATGATCTTTTCTTAGTGATAATACTGCGATATTATAACCATGGATCACGCCGATCCGTTCCTCCACGTTCAAGCGTCAGTCTCACTAGCTTTCCCCCTTTGACCAAGTAGCACGACGAGCTAACCCTTCATAGAGACGTCCTTGCGACGCTGCAAACAACAAGACCTCTCTTCTCATCGTATCTACGCATCAGGTCTCTCGCCAAATCCCCATCCAATCCCGAGCTTCAGCAAGCACGCTCGGAACTGGAGACGACGCTGACCGAACTCACTGCGGACTTGGATGATCTTGTCGAGAGTGTCCGTGCAATCGAACAAGATCCATACCGGTATGGCTTGGAGCTGGAAGAGGTTCAGCGCCGGCGAAAGCTGGTGAAAGATGTCGGTGGAGAGATTGAGCAAATGAGAGAGGAATTGCAAAAAGCCGTTACTAGTTCTGCGGCAACCGGCAGTGCTAGATCGGGTGCGCCCACTGGCAATTCGTCTTCGGGGCTACCCAATCCATCCGACTTTGACAATGTCCTCTCCCCGTCGGCAGATGATAGAGGGGATGATTACTATGCCGCTCTCGAACAGCAACGGCAGGTGGAACTGATGCACGAGCAAGACGAACAGTTAGATGGCGTCTTCCGCACCGTTGGCAACTTGCGACAACAGGCCGACGATATGGGGAGGGAGCTAGAGGAGCAAGCGGTCATGATAGGAGAGGTTGATACATTGGCCGACCGAGTAGGAGGCAAGTTACAGAGTGGAGTGTCAAAGATTAAATATATCGTGAGAAAGAACGAAGGTAGGTATTACTTCATTGTTTCGTCGCACCATCCCGCCCCTTATTATTTGCTTTTGATATCAAGGCTAACTGAATATTACATAGATACAATGTCCTCGTTTTGCATCGCCGTTCTCATTTTCGTGCTTGTCCTATTATTAATCCTGGTCATCGCCCTGTAAGAAACCAAGCAAAAAAGTTCAAAATACAAATCGTCATACGAATCAGTCGGTCAAAAAGATGATTTCACAGGCTTACACCTTGGTCTTCTTCTTGGGGCGTGTATCTTCCTCGTCTTCGTCATCCTCGTCTTCGTCTTCAAGGTCGCCCTCGAGTTCCTCGATATCCATCCCCTCATCGCGATCTTGACATCGTTAGAATATCTATTTCAAAGATTTGATGTGAACAACTTACTGAAAAGTTCGAGAGCATGGGGCCACAAATCGTCAGCAATAGCGATAGCAAGCTGCTCTCCGTCTGGGAAGACCTCAATGTCTTCGAATTCTTCGTCCTCCTCTTCTTCCTCATCCTCAACTGTCTCTCCTTTCGACAATTTGGCAAAGCGCTCGTCAGCTTGCTGGGTAGCGGCCTTCGACTCCTCTGCAGATACGTCGTTACCCCGGTAGCCGAAGAAGGCGAAGAAGCTTGCGCCTGCGGGGCTAAGGGGGAAATCCTCATCCTCATCCTCCTCCTGGTCGGCAGTCGTCTCCAGTTCAACAATCTTGTTCTTCAGCTTCTCCAACTCCGGGAGCTTCTTGCGGTCCTTTCCACCCTTCTCGGCCTCGGCCAGATCGCAAGCCGCGTCGAGCAAACCCTTGGTGAGATCCATATCCTTCTTCCACTGAATGCGAACCGGCTCGGAGACAAGACCCTCCCAGGACTTGGTCTTGCCATCGGCGGTCTTGACGGACCTCCTGCGCCAGTAGAGCTCCTTGACGAGCTTCTCGTTCTCGAAGAAAGGGTTTTCCTCGCCAGTGCGGAATTCAAAGGTCAAACGAATGCTGCGGGGCTCACCCTGGCCCTGCTCGTTAAGCTCGAATCGTTCCACTTTCAGGTTCTTGAGGGTAGAGCCTAGAGCGGCCGCGTCAGGGGTCATGATGTACTGATCGATCTCGCTGGGGGCATTGGCGAAGACGCGAACCCAGAAGTTCTCCTTGATCTCATCGTTTCCGTTGACGAAGGCATCACGCTCGTCGTACCAATCACGCATTTTTAGGGTGTTGTCACGAACTGCCAGGATTAGTTATACCGCGCAGCGCTCGATGCGATCGGTGCAAAACTTACGGCAATCGACGTCAATGCGAGAGCGCTTCTCTTCGAGGAAAGACATCTTCTTCAATTGCGCCTCGGTAGGCTCGGATCCCTGGAGGCGATCAAGCAACGAAGCTCCAAAGTCGGTGGACATGACGGCGACGAGGACCTAAGCTCGGTCGATTTAAAATGGCGAGAAAAGGGGTAAGAGAAGCTTTGAAGATACGATTCGGGGGGCAATTCTATGCGAAACCCGACGGGAAAAAATGGGGGGGAGATGATTGTAGAAGTAGGGAAGATAGATGGAGAAGACGCGATCAGAAATTTTTAAATTCTTCAAAAACTTTACTCCGCGCAGACGGACTATCGCAATTGCGCTCCCGTCTGGACTCGGCGTCTCAGGTCCAAGTCACCTGTTCACACTAACGCTGTCCGGCAGCAAGCACCCTTCGGCCAATCAGGAGCTGTCGAGCCTTGTTTCCGCTCCCATCCATCATCATATGTTACTAGATCCTAGTAATTTTCTATAGCTGTTCATGATTTTGTTGTATTGGTCTCCCTGACATTATTCGTCTGGTCAGCCTTTATTCATAATGTACATATGAGGTAGTCTCTAGACCCAGCATCTACAGTAAACTATCAGATGAAACAAAACAACAACAATACTATATATAGCACATACAAAGCTACCATTACCTTCAATTGCCATAAGTTTATATAGAAAAATCAGTGTCTCGGATAACCCAAGTCCAACACATAAATAAATACCGACTCAAATCCACCCTGATTTATATCCTCCCGGTAATGGAATAGCACTCCTTTCATACAACCAATGGCACCATAACCAGGAACGTTAGGTAACAACCCCTACTAGGTACCATCCAGAACAGGTGACAATATAAAGACCAATCATGCGAATGAATAGCAGGACCCAATCCATCGAGGCCCAGACAAGGTCACGTTGCCTTTTTATTTTTTGTTTTTCTTTTTTTGTTACTCCCCGATAAGCAGGATATACTTTAGGCTAAGTGGTTAGACTCTTCGATAGTTGATCTCTAAATTTACTGGTGACGTCGGAGTTTTAATTGAACTCCGGGTCTTGTCGCTGATCAACTCAGGGAGGTTGCTTAGTTGTAGTAGTATCTTGCTAAATGCGGGGAGATAAGGGACCGGGGGAAGTTTTCTTTTCTTTTTCTGCTTTCCCTTTAGGTTGAGGAGGATTCGCGTTAGTTTATTTCGACTTCATCCCATCTTTAGTATGCGGATTCTTGGTCGCAATGGGGTTTGCCATCGTCAATTCGCGGTATTAGCCATTCTCTCTATGAATCTTGCTAATCAACCTCCTCGCTGCTGCCTCACAAGGCAGGATCATGGTGGCCCAAGGCACTGGAACACACACACACACACACACACACACACACACATATATCTAACACTTCTCACATCCAATCAAAGATGGATTATAAATTTCAAATCATCAAACAGCCGCCGGTGTGAGTCGTAACACACGAGGGGAATAAGTAAAATAGACAGATAATAAAAGAAATGAAAGAAAAGAAATATAGCCAATCAATCAACTTTTGTGGCGGATGGGCCACTGGTCATCATGCTGCATGTCGTGACGTGCGTTTCATCCAACCGTACCATTCCAATCAAAACAAACCATTACTTTTTTTTCTGCCTTCTCGTCCGAGGTGAGATAAGAGCCGTGGAACCTTTTCATTTTTTTTGTTCCCCGCTCCATTAGGGTACTTTTCAACGATAAGACCCGGGCCGATTCGCCGTTAATGCTATTAATAAAAGAGAAAACAAGGGGTGACAGGGGAAAGAGTAAAACAGGAGGGGAGAGCGAAGGGGGCCTGCAAGCATATCGGACCAATCGTGGCGTGCTCCGATAGCGTCAGAAAGCCGCGATGTCTGTGCGACTGCCCCCTAAACCGGTTGGAGTGTATCTGACCGAGAGAAAAAAAATCTCCCAGTTACAGCATCCAGTCCAATCCGTTGGCCTCCTCTTCGATCGGAAAGACCTCGCGCGCATATTCTTCCATATCGCGCCAACCCTCCCACAGGTGCCGAGCCTCGTCGGTGACTCTCAGCGATACGACCCCTCCGGGACCCTGCATCATGCCAGCGCCGGCGCCTTTTCCATTGGCCGGGCCCAAGCCCTTGGGGGAACCTGCTGCGGGACTGGAGAATTCGGGCTGCGGGAAGTAAGGCGCATTGCACTGTCCAAAGACTTCCTCAATCGCCTCCAGCTGTTCTCGATATCCAGGAGGGATATTCACTTTGACCTCGACCTTAGGCACATGAACATAGTGGCACGGACGATTTAAGGCTCGTGAGAATGCTGCGCACACTTGGTTGGGGGAAAGAGTTTCAAAGGTCAGGGCAATTCTATGCTATTCTTAGCCTCGCACGCACGGCGAATTACGTCTGCTCCTGCAAGGGAAAAACTTACCGGTGGCCGTGCCATTTCTTGGGGCCATCCTTGAAAATCTGTAGCAGCGCCGGACCAACATCATGCTCCGCATCCAACCATGGCAACGGAGTGTCCGGGTCGAATGGTGCGTGCCATTCGAAGCTCCCATCGGGCATGAGTTCCATCTGGAAAAGCGGGTAGGGTAGACTGGTGAAGTTGTTGTTGTAAATTCCGGCGTAGACAAAGGTTGCCGGAAGTCCTAGTTGCCGGATGTAATTCTCGACAGTGAACTTGGGCGCCCATTGCGGTACGGGCAGCCAGGGTCCGTAAACCGAGTGATCTGGCATGCTGCTGTAGATGTAGTGTTGAATGGTTCCCGCCCGTTTGGCTGCATCAGCGAGCGCACGTCCGATTGCGACCTCATCGCCTGATTGTGACGTCGTATTGATGAAGGCCAGATTGGCTCCTTGAAAGAGGGCGTCCATCAGGGGTACATTGTCGAGCAAAGGACCTTGGAACAGGGTGACATTTGGTAGACTCTTCAGTTCCTCCGCAATGATACCTTTGAGTGAATGAATCTGAGCTCGTACATGATGGCCAACGGCGGAAGCAACGCGGATGAGGGAAGCGGCCTGTCGACCCGTCGCGTTCACGACGGCAATGGTCTTCTGTTGTGTCATTCGGGGCGGTACTGAGGAAGGAGAAGGAGGGGAGGGGGGCGAGAAGGAAAGAGGGGAGAAGAAGCGCGGGGAGAGACGGAGGTGCCGTAGTATGCGAAAGTGACTTTTGGAAAACCCCTCCGACGGTTGTTTAAAGGAAGAGAGGATATGCGGGGTAGAAAAGGACGCAGGTCGAAAGAGACGAGAGAGGCCAATGAAGAAGAAGGCGGCTCCGACAGAAAATCTGGAGTAAGTCTGGTGGAATCAGGAGCAAAAAGAACTGATTTGATTTACACGGTTATTATTATTATCACGAGGGGCCGGCCGTTTAGGTTAGTCGTCGGACAAGATGGGGCACAATTTAGTATCACTTTTCCCAATGTCCTTCCTCAGTGGGGTTCGGCCTGCTCTGGTGAACTTGAACTTGGTCACCAAATTTTGTTTGTCGATTGAGCGCAAATCTAATGCCGCAATCGATTTCTTGAATGGTGCAATAAGAGTTTTTCTCGCTCTTGTTTTTTTTTTTTTTTTTTGTTTGACGCTGATAGTGGATCGCTGAGTTGGAGACAAAGGTTGATAGATAGAGGCTGATTGTCGTTGCTTGAGATGCCGCAACTCACAGGGGGTTAATATGGTGCCTTTTTTTTTCTCTTTTTTCCTTTTTCCTTTTCTTGGTTCCAATTAATTGTTGGCTCACAAGGTATTTTTCTTAGTTAATGGCCCGGACCAGATGGATAAGGGCTTCGGAATGCTCTCCTTCCACTGGCAATGCTCCCGGTGGACTCCCCCGCCAGTGACTAAAATAATTATAATTATTAGGGGATTCACAATCAAAAAGAGAAAAAGAAGAATCGTAAAGGATCTGATTCAGTTGCGCGGGTCTGATTAACAAAAAAGAAAATTCAGAACGACAGGCAGGGAAGGTGGATCGATCCAAGGAACGGTTCCGAGATTCGCGCCCACAATAAGTACTGAGTAGTATACCCTTCACGAGAGGATAGGAACGCAGGCTTTCGCAAAAGAGAAGACTTAAACGATGGTGCAATTGATCATGAGCCTAGGGAGGAGGCTACCTTCTCTTATTATTCTCGATCTCGAGGGGGAAACGAGACCGATATATGTAAAGGTATAAGTAGGCAAGGGCAGGCATGTCATATGGACGAATGGAGGCATCCCAATGGACGAGCAGTCCTGTGAGGTCCCCAACTAGTAAACTACTAGCTGACTGGTCTGGATTAGGATCGTCTGGGGTTGTTGGTAAGAAAATAATAGGGGAGTAAGACTAGTACTAAGAGAAAAATAAAATAAAATAAAAAAATAAAATAATAAATATGGAAAAGACTCCAGTCCGATTTGGAGTCCGAGGAGGAGAATCATCCACTGTGGTTCATATCGAGTAATGGGAAACAGTCATGGAAACAACGGCTTTGCCCACACAAGGTTGAATGCGGTTATTCTATCCAGTTGATTTTTTTTTTTAATTTTTCGTTTTATTTTTTTATTCTATCACATATCATTGCTTTTGATTTTAATTTATAATTATTATAATTTTTCTTATTTACTTTACTTTTCTGCGGTTCGTATGTATAAGCCTCCTTCCTATCTGATCGTATATCTTGAACACCCGTGACCCTTACTTTGATAGGAACCGGTGGCATTTCCAAGGAACTTTGGGTTAGAACCTCCCAAGGTCTCGACCGGGTTTTTGATCACCGGACAGTTAAGACTGCACAGACGAAGTCGCCAGAAACATCCATAGCTCCATAACTCCGCCCGTCGCGCAGCCATTGACCGTCTTTCCTTTACGTAACTCGGGATGCAGTCTGGATTGGATCGGATTCTTTAACACGTCGCCGGGTCGATCTAGTGATCACGGCCTTTGATATACGGTGTTTACATTCGGTAGTTGCTTGCTTGATCCTGGGTTGACTGATGCATTAATATCTGTTCTTAATTTTCTGGATCGATTGATATCTACTCGAAGTGCATATTGTACGTATGTATTTGAGAGTTGTATTCTATGCACAACTCAATCGACAAATGTTGCTCAACCGTAACTCGCACTAAAAACCCGCCCGCAATGCATTTCCCCTGCTCGTTTTAGGGCGGGGAAAAAAGCAACTCGGTAGGAGTCCCCGGGTATATGCTCGATCCAGTATCGAACGAGTCAGTGAGTACTTTAGAGAATAGTATCTACTGTTTCGAAAATCACCACCACGTACCCGGTTCTATTTCCCGGCAAATATCCTTCGATTGAAATATGTCCTTATTCCCTGTCTATCCAAGTAAACTACGGAATCAAAGGAACAACTGAAATACACCGGATCTATACAAGATATTCGCAGTGGAGCCCCTGCTGAAACATAGTATTGGTCCTCTCTCGTCGTCCATCACGCCCACGTTCCTTTAACGGTGCCAGACTCGGCCACCGCTCCCGACTCGGTCTGTGCCGTCCTTTGTTGGCATCACCTCTGCCAAGAAGTTACTACGCCCACCGTCGTACCTTCTGGGTCTTCTCTCAACCGAAGGAGGGTTGAAGCTTTGCCCAGTAATTTTCCGGGAGGATACGGGCACATGACCACTTTGGTTTGTCTGTGAAGAAGTAGTTACAGTTGATATGGTTGGATCGATAAGAACCCCCAAAGTATATACTACATAGTACATAGTACAACATGCTCGGCTTCTGCTCCGTAGTAGTATGACCTGCCTTGTAGGGTAACGTCTCATGGCTTTCGAATCGAATCGGAGAGTACCGTTCCCTCCCCGCATTTTATTGCCCTGGATCAACCTGGTGCGTGCTTTTGCTTGCAGGTCGGCCTTTGCGCTCAGGCTCTTTCTTTTTCCGCGGGTGTGACACTAAAGGATCACCTCACCTGATCTCGTTGGCATTTTGTTAAACAACAGGCGTTATATACACAGTATGATATGATTCGGGTTGGCGCGCGGGCTTCTTTATTGGAACGATTTCTTATCTCAGACTAGTGCTTATTTCTACTCTATCGTGATTTTCTCCTTGGGATCTGGACAAAATTATTTCCTCGGGCATCAATCACGCTTGTGCCTTTTTTTTTTTTTTTTTCCCATCGAGCTGAATCGAGCATGTCGTCTCGTGATCAGTCGCGCCCACATCCTTGATTAATTACGGTGCCGATCCGGCCATCACTCGCTCCGCCAGTCGCTCTTCTCCTGCTTCTTCCATTTCGCGGTCACTGACCTCCCGCGGTCCAATCCCCGCCAATCCCCAGACTCCCGGTCTGCGTCGCGCGAGTAACTGTGCCGCGGTCCGTTCATCCGAGTGCAAATGTGCGCCCGACTTGCGAAGCAACATAACATGCTCCGATAAGCCTGCGTTGGCCGCCAGGAACAGTGGTGTGCGGTTGTTGCGATTTCGAATGTGGACGGAGCCACCCTGCATCAGCAGGAAACGCAGGATGGAGAGTGATGGCGATGTCGCGGCCAGATGCTGAAGTGCTTTGTTAACGGACAGGTAAAGAAGAAAGAGAGGGGGGGTGTGGATGAAGGAAGGGTATCGTACGATGGGAGTATTGCCCGAGTAATCGGCATCGTTCAAAAGGTAGTGATTTTCCAGCTTCAGAATCTCTTCGACATGTGCGAGATCTCCCTGGGCAATGGCATAGCCCAAAATGGTAAGGGCCTGGACACGCTCAGTGAGGGCGCCGTCTGGGTGACGGAATACGGGTTGCGAAACCTCCGTCAATTCTCCTCGGAGTGATTTCGACATGTCCCGTGCCACGGACTCAGGGGTTGCGTCTGGGAGACCAAGGAGGTACGCCAGTTTTGTCAGGGCCGCTTCTGTGGTCAAGTCGAGACCTGCCACAACACCAGCTCGAGACAAGCTCATACCGGTGGCATACACAGGGCTAACGCTGCCGGTCAAACCTGCTCAGAGTCAGAGTTGAACAGTCCATCGCATGAGATTGAAGGTCTTGTGAATCTTACACTGGGTGACGTTAACAATCACAATTCCTCGCTTAATGGCATCCGCAAGCACTTTGATCAAAGCGTTATCTTGACCGTGCGGTGCGTTACCAGCTCCAAAGGTCTCTAACACTAAACCACGGAGTCCTTCTAGTCTCAACACTGCGTCAATCATTTCTGGCTTGATACCAGGGAATATACGAAGACAGGCGACATGGGTAGTATCTAGATGTGTTTGAATGCTGAAATGCTCGATGCCCTTTGGCCGATTCACCAACTCCCAGTTGACGTTAGTGCGCATGGAAGTGGTCACAGCCAACGGTGTGCAATTTGGAGAATCAAATGCAGCGAAGTCACTTGCCGCCACCTTGCTCGACCGGTTACCACGGAATAGTCGATTGTTGAAGTACAGGCACACTTCGGGGATCATGAAGTGGCCGGCCACAACCAGGGATCCAAGAAGGTTATCTGTCGCATCGTTCTGAAGCTCCAACATCGGAGCCTGGGATCCCGTGAGGACTACGGTTTTTCCCAGGTTTTGCAGCATGAAGCTGAGTGCGGAGCTCGTGTACGCCAAACTATCTGTACCGTGAAGGATGACAAATGCGTCAAAAAGTGTGTAGTTCCTCTCGACGGTCCGCGCAATTTCTGCCCAGCCTTTGGCATCAATAGAACTGCTGTCCAGCAGCTCCTCGAATTCAAACACCGTATATCGTACTCGGCGGCCGTACGCAGTCTGTGGTGTCCGTAGACTCTGATGGCCCTTGATCTGGCCGGTGTTATCGACAACAACATCCATCATGGTCGAAGGTGAGCCATCATTGAAAGTAGGCACCCGAGCCAGGCATTGCTCTTGGAACCCTCGCGCTGGTATAAACCCTGATGGTGACGGTCGCATACATATGGTACCTCCAGTCATAATGATAAGGACCCTCGCTTCAGGGAGCTGAGGTTCTAATTGTTGTTCGATCATCTCAGGGATAATATCGTCCATGGTTGCCATGATGAGAACGAGGGAACCTTAAGCTCGCTGGTCCCTTGACCACCCTACAACGATGCACAAAATAACACACACGTCGACAACTGGCTAGAGTAGCGAAACAACAGTGATAAAATCGTGGCCCCTTCTTTGCTCTTTAGTATTGTTAAAGCTGTGCGATGCGCCCCAGTGGACTCTGATAGTAAGCCGAATCAGCAAACCGATAAGCCTCTGGACGTGGGGCAATGGCCTTGTGAATTGAAGCGG